ATTCACCTTGTTTACCATAGCGACACTCTGGCGCTAGGTTTACTTAACAGTATTATATTTCGTTCATATTATAACTCTGAATGCAAAAATTTATATCATTTAAAGAATTATTTAATCGTTGCCACATGTTTTATTCAAATACTATAATAAAGCTAGAACTATGTATAAAAGAAATTAAGCAAACAAAACAAAAAAGAAACAGTTTTTCACAGACGATTGAGTATTTCTCATTTAATTAATTCATTTCTCATTTCGCGAGAAGGCAAAAATACATAAAAACTGAAAATATCTGTATTAAAAATTACGAAGTAAATCTTAAACGCTTATTTCCTCGAAAATATTCAAGAAAGGATTAAGCATGATTTAATTGGCAATAATAAATGAAGGCGTTATCTTTGTTGTTGCGAAGCTAAGTTTCACTAGACTGGCAACAAATCCACTATCCTGCTGTTTCAAATGTAAACATCAATGGCCGCCATCAAATTAGGCTTAGCGGCACTTGAACAATTTTAAAATTGTTGATAATTCTAAAAATATTGCATACAGATTTACTAAAGGCATAAACCCTTAACCGGAATATAAAAACAACATAATTTCAAATTTTTAAAGCAAATAATGTACAATTTACTTACAAAACAAACATAAGAAACTGAGAATCACTGAGAAAACTGAGCCGGTAACAGAGTGGATATATTATAAATATATTTATATACGTTTGGCGCGGTCGATTGAAACCAAAATACGAGGTGCACATCTACATGTTATAGCAGTCTCATATACAAAATTTCAACGTTCTTGAGGCTACTCGTTTTTGAGTTATGCGAGATACGTACGTACGCACGTACGTACATACGTTCGTACAGACGCCACGAAAAATTCTCTTCAGAATTCATTTTAAAGCAGTTTTTTAGTTTTTTTGGAGGAAAAGAGTCTTTTATTCTGTCCTTACGTACAGATATCACGCAAAAACATCGTTAAATTGCATTCGAAAGCGGTCAAAGTGGATATTTTCGTTGAAATATGCTGCCTGAAGCTTTTCGCGATTACAATACTTCCTTTTTACTTCGTACAAGGAAGTAAAAATACATTTAAAACTGAGCTAATAGTTTAATTTTAGTAATTAATTTGGTTATTATTTTTGAATTAATTAATAAATTGTTTATTAGCCCAAAGGGCGTTAGCCCAGAAGGGCTACTAATTTCGTTTTGGAATTTTGCGTGGAAAACTTTTAATGTTAATTTACTTTTAAATTGTTGTCACCACATATTACAGCCCTGTATTATATTTAAAAAACCTTTTTATCTCCAGCGAGCGAGACTGTGTAACGGAAATTCTAAAGACATGTTCATTTAAAAATTATTTTGCGATATTGTTGTTGAACTGGATCTTATGGTTTAAGGTCGAAGAATATGATATTTAATAAATAAAGGTAACACAGAAAACGTTAAAAAAAAAAAACGGCCCTTTGGGCGTAATTGTAATATCTGAAAACTTTCAGACTTTTTTATTTCTTTTTTTTTTTAGTTATTATTATTATTATTTTTGAAAAATGCAAATTTGATGTCACGGCTTGTAATATATAAATCGCCGTCTATTAAACTCAGCCAATTTAATAAACTCAAATACTTTTGAAACAGAGGTGATTTTAATTAGCGGCGGATACAGTATTTTATTTTTAGGTACAGCTAGTTTAAAAGAAGAGAAGAAACTCGTAAATTAACTATTTAATATTAAACAGATAAAACATATTTATTTTATTATAACCAAGGAATACCATTTTTAATTTAGGAATCTCGTGTCGCATATAACCATCATACCACAAGGTTTTTCGAGCTAAATTAATAAAATTTTCTGAATGGGTTTATTTTCCTTACTTAATAATCTGCTTGTGTACTACCGTTTACAATTTTTCATTTTGTAGCTTTCATAATAGATTTTAAAAACATAAATCAAAACAGAACAGAAATACGCCACAGTGGAACATAAAATTAACAAAGCTGCAACCTTGCAGTTGGTGTAGATTTAGCCAATTACTCAACCGATTTCGAGGGAAAACAGGTTCCTCGTCATGAGGAGCAGAGAAATCTGCAAGAGTAAGGTCTCTCTTCTTCAGGAGCAAAGAAATATGCAAGATTGGAAAGTAGCAGAATTAAAGACTGGAATTTTGCAGGAGTATTGGAAAGAAGGAATATTGAAAGAATATCTTTGCTTCTGCAAGATTCCAGTCTTGAATTCTGCTACTTTCCAATCTTGCATATTTCTTTGCTCCTTAGAAAGAGAGACCTTTACCCGTGTGCTATCGAAATCGATTGATATCCAAATCGGTTATTATTCTTAAAATAAGAACTCATTTTTTCTAAGGCCAATGTGATTATTACAACAAAATAAGCTCAGTTTCTTTTGAAACACAATCTAGTCCTTTATTTATTTTCCCCTCACAGTTATATAAATTTATTATTGCATTCTAAGCAATTGTTCTTGTTTGTTCAGCGGTTTTATCATCCGAGTTTACGTAAAACATCATAACACTGATACAACATTTGTTCAAGTTCAATCTCACAAAACATACAACGTTAAAAATAGATCATAGTTTCGAACACTGATTACTTTTCCTTTAATCTTGAACAAATGAAACCGTTCACGCGTTTAGATTCTTTTTCTGTCCCAGCTGCGTATTGATGTTTAGTTTCTAAGAAATCCTGTTTTTGTTTTACTTTCACTATAAATTCATTGCTAAATTTTTAGAGGAAGATCCAGTAAATACTAGCGACAATTATAAACGTATTACACAAGTTAAAAAAATTCTAAACAGTATTAAAATCTGATAATTAATGTATTTTAAACAATATATTCCATAACATTTCTAACTTTGTGTAACTGAAGTGCAAATGACTTTTAATTCACTTTAGAGAAGATTGCAGGCTTATAAATTTTCTTAAACTATTAACAAACTATAAAGTTCTTCACAATCATTCAATACGTAAGTTATAACGATTAAGCTTAAACTGACAAAATGTTTTAAAACTTTCTTTATGTTGTAAGTTTTTTACTTGAACATCAGAATAAGTTACAAAGAGGAACATTTTTAATATTTCCAAATTTTTATTTTTAAATTAAAAAAGTGTAAAGTTGCCATATCTTATTATTTTCTGTTATCAAACATAAAAGTTAGTTTTTAATAGTTTATTAATTATATAACCCTTTTTACAGGTTTTGCGACATTTCAGAATTTTATTATTTCATCATAGTGCTTTAATAATTTGATAATAAATGTCTAAAATGATATTTTTTTTCCTTGTACGAAGTAAAGTAACGCTTTTAAAGAGTTTTTTCCTTTTGCGTCTGTGCATTTTTTTTCAAGCAACAATCAATTCGTAAATGACTTTTTTGTTGCCAAACCAGGCAACAAAAACTTTTGACATTTCAGGTATAAGTATGACGTCATGATTTAAATTTAATGTAACATAACAACTTTTTTCTCAATATCAATAAAAGAATTTACGTGGCAATAACACATCGTATCGATTATTCTAACCTGAAACAAAAAAGTTACCAACTGCATCTATTTATTTAAAATGCTCACATTAACGAAAAATTTTCTACATACATTGACGTCACATACAATCGCGTGCTTTCTTCAACGACAGAATATAATAATAATACGTTTAATGTTTTGAAATTCTATTTTTATTTCCAATTATGTAAAACTTTTAAATTTTTTATTAACAAACTCTACGATTTGAAAGCGAGGAGTGGCAATTCTTTTCAAAATAAAGCATTTTTATCTTCAGCGTACGAGACTGTTGCCACGCGGAGAAATGAGTGCGAAAATTAGCATTTTCGGAGTTTTAATTAATATCTCGAATAATTAAAGCCATACAAAAAGATGAGAATGGCGGGTATGGCTTCAAATGAATTTTTCGAATCCGAGGAGTACCTCTATCGAAACTCAACTCTCCGCCGTTCTGGAGGAGATGAGGTTACAAACAAACAAATAAACAAACAGACACGCACAGATTTTAAGATTTTTAGAAATTGTCGGAAGTTTTAAACATTTCTTGAACAATGGTACACAATCATCTCATAAAACTCAGTTACATAAGTTGCTTTGAAGTGTGTATTTTGCATCAGCTGCTGTACAGGTTAGTAATACATACGATTCCGTTGTGCGAAATATGCATGTTACTACTTAAGATGTTCTTCTTGAAACTAAACGGAACAACTTTTCGAAGACATAAGTTGCTGCAAATGAAACCTGAATCCAAATGAGAATTTCAACACTAAACGCTTTTGGTCCAGGCTTAAGCGTTTAACGGTAGCAAAGCCCGGTCTTCGCCCTAAGAAAATTTTAATGTCAGTCTGGTTGGATTGAAAGAGCCTCATTTATTACGAGTCGCTTTCACAAGAAGAAACAATTATCTATACTTCAACAAAAGTACTGTTCCTAATTGGACAAACTGAAAAAAATTGGACATTAAAAAAAAAAGTCGAAATTATTTAAAATTCTTTTTGTTTAATTAATAAAGGAAAATTATGCTCCTTTTAATTTTATAAAGAATAGAAGACTATTTTTTCTATTCTATTTAGAATAGCATAATAACAATAATAGAATAATAATACCCCCTAATAGGTAAAAAAAAAAAATACGTTGAATACTACTACTACTACTACTACTACTACTACTACTACTACTACTACTACTACTACTAACTACTACTACTACTACTACTACTACTACTACTACTACTACTAACTACTACTACTACTACTAATAATAATAATAATAATAATATAATATAATAATAAGACTTTTGTTCTGCTTTTCAAGTTTTATAAGAATGAAATATCTCATTTTTTATAATACTTTACGGAGAATTTTATAATAATAGAATAACTTTTTTGTTTTAAGTTTAATAAGAATGAAATATATCATTTTCTATAATACTTTAAAGAGAATTTTATAATGCTTGTATGGCTAGAGAAGCAATTTCTTTCTTTAATCTAAGTTTTTAATATTTTTTTTCAGCCATTTCTACGATCAGGATGGCGCTAGGAGGAAAATGGGCAGTGTTATTGGGTCTGGTTGTTTTGCAGTTTTTTCTAGCTGGAGTCTGTGTTGAAGGCAAAGCGAAACAAAGTTTGGAAGTAAGTTTGAAGTGTATAAGTAGACCTTTTTATCTAATCTAGATAAAAGAAACAAAAGTATTTTTTCAATATACCGCAATATTAATATTACAAGATTTCCATTTCTTTATCTCTATAAATTCATTTCTGCCTTCTCTTGATACAAGTGATATTTACGCTGTTTTTTTAAGGTTCTTTTTAATTTTAATGCTCTAAATCAGCAGTTTTTAACCTTTCGACTAAAGCGTAGCATCTAAACAAAAATTGTAAGACTTTTATAGTACCACCACTACATTTTACAACGACTTTTTTTTTTTTTTTTTTTTTCAATTTCTCAACAGAAATATTAAAAAAAATATATTTTGCCATTTGCTCAACTTATTGGTTATTTGTATTAAAAATGCACACATAAAAAAATGTTAGATCAAAAATTGGTTACCATTTTAATTATCAAATTTAAGTTGTAATTCTTAAATTCTAAAATTTAGTGTGAAATTTGGGGCTGTTTAAGAGAGAATAATTTCTTTATGTCTGGCCTTATTTCACTTAGCTTTAACCGTAAATTAGGATCCACTTTTAATTTTGTTCTGTATTTATTTTTCAAATGAAACACGAAAAAAAATCTTTGTTCACACAAATAGGTTGTACAAAAAGGCAATAATTATAAATATTTTTTTCTTTCTTTTGTTTTTCCACCTATTTTTCTCTTGCGTATCACTAATGGTACGCGTACCATCGGTTGAGAATCGTTGTTCTAAATTATACAATTAAATCATTAAAAAGGAGGAGACTTTTCAAGTAACTTATTTGCACTATTATGGGGAAAGTGGTGGTGTATTTATTTGATTACGGCAAAGCACTCGAGGGCTATCTGCCTAAGGGAAGGGATGCCTTCGTAGAGGATGTTTTAAGGGAAACTGGCTGGTATACGCGTTTACACATGGGGAAAACCACGAAAACGCCCATGCAGTTAGGCCGTTTGCGGGATTCGAACCTCGGACCGAACTACCAGTGAACTACCGAACTACCGTGGGACATTATGGAGAAACGTTCAACTAAGTATTTCTTTATTTGAGATAATTATTTTAAATTTTAATTCAGTAACCTAATTTTTTACTAAAATTTTAAAAAATATGGCAAAAGGACCGAAAATTTTTGTTTTTGTTTAATAACAGTCGTTAGCTGACAGATAATAAATAACAGTTGATTAACAAAACAACGGAACGTGTAGACAACAGATTGTTTATTCTTCCATGGTCGTAAAGTTAAGATAAGTTTTTTTTATTTTTAAATATTTTGAAACCTTTAAAAATGTGTTAAATGCTACGTTAATTACTTAGAGATCATGGCAAACTTATGTATTTAAAATAAATCTATAACTGATGAGTCAAGAAAACTTACGTTACTTTACACATGCTAAAATAAATATTTAACCTATAATAAAACCAAGTTGGCAGACATAAATCTAAAATTTTATTAAAGTTAAATTTAATTAAAAATTAAAATTTAGAGGCTGTAAGTATATTTTTCAATACTTTTGATATTTAATTTTTTATCTCTGGAGATGCGATCAGGAATGAGTATTAAAAATATTATGAAGTGGTTGTGGTTAAAAATACTGTAGTCATTAAAGACATCTGAAATTAATACGTATGTTAATATGAAGTATAATGTTACTTATTCAATTTTTCTGCAATATGATCTGCTCAGCTCTCATTTTGAAATTGAAATATATAGCTCTAAAATTCTGGGAAAAAAACACATCTAAAACTAGTATAATATTAATGAGCTAATGTTTCTTTAAAAATTATTAAAAATAAATTTCTCTGATTTAAAAAAAAATTAAATTTGAACTCACATTTAAATAAAAATTGAGTACAAAGCGAAAGCTATTTAAGGAAATAAAGAAATCGAATGACTGTGTAATATTTTTAATATATTAATTAATTAATTAAGGCTGTAAAGTTTTATGTTAATTAACCTTTTATTATGATTTAATCTTTTTTTCGTAGTCCTCACCAGAATGCAAAATAGTTACTTATGTATTGAGGGTTTGAAAGTTTATTTTAGAGCAATCTGGCAATCTCGTTTTGCTGCTACTAATTATCGCCAGTTCTGTTTATTTCCGGCTTTGGCATCTTGCTAGCCGACATTTAAAATCTTCCCAGTAATTGTCTTGAACCTGCTTAAAAGTAGTTTATTTTGCGTTGTAGTCTCAGACTACGTTACATACATTTGAACTTAGTGTTATCTTATGCTAATTTAAATTCCCTCAAGTAACTGAGGTTTGTTTGTCGCACGAAGCCTTTCTGTTCATTAAAAAATTAAATAAAAAAGTTTGTTTAAACTTTCTCAGAACCTAGCGATTTGTTTCAGAATAAGCGAAAACTCACTATAAATCTAGTAGGTTTTGCAGGGCATTAACACAAGCTTCTAGATAGAGCAGAATTCTACAAGGTGTTGAAAAGGTTATACAAACATTCGATTTCATTAAAATTAATTAATTATTTAATACTTTTAATATATTATTTAATAAAAAGTGGTTTGATGGAAAATAAAATATGTCATCTTTCTTTGTTTATATCTCAGCTGAGAGTACATATGCAAGTAAACGTTTTCTTATTCCCGAGCACATAGGACTTAATTCTACCTACGAAATTAAATGCTAAACCTACGGTTAGCATTTTATAGTTTTTAGTAAAAATTATCTCAATTATACAACTTAATTCTATTTATCAAAAAGCGAAAAAAAAAACTGTAGCTATATTTTTGCTGGCAATCATTTATGAAACTCAAACTGTTTGCAAATTAAAAACTTGCAAATAAACCGTACTACTTGCAAATAAACAATAATTTATTTACCAACACTGAAGAGATAATCTGTATTTCAGCCGCCCAACCGGTACTGACTCTGATTGTCGTAGCCATGGGCCTACGAGGAAATAAGTAGTCTGCGAACCTCAATAAAGACCGAAGTCTAAGCTAATTAAGGAATATTACTCTAGATCTCACACTCAGAAACACAAAAATTAAACTAAGATAGCTTTTTTTCCTAGTTTTTAACTATACATTATTTTGTTTCTATTGTTATCATTGCAAGTGTCGCGTGTTGTAATATTAACTTGTAACATTTCTTAAAAAAAAAAAAAAAAAAAAAAAAAAAAAAAAAAACAACACTTATAATGTGTTTCCCCCCCTCCTTTCTGCATGCCTTCGTAGTGTAACGAGTAGCAAACTCGGTGCGTATTCAAGAGGTCTAGGTTTGACTCCCGGCGAGAGCATTACTCATTTTTCAAGTTTCCTGCATCAAAAGTACTAATGTATCTATAGACTTATTTATATTAACAACAATTGATAAATGCAGATATAGCTTAAACGGAGTTATATAAAATCTCTCTGTGCAAGTAATGCTTCGCGATTAATTTATCTAAGTGCAAAAGTTTTAGTTTTGGATGTTATGGAAAGAAAAAAATGTTAATTGATAGCTTACAATATAATAAAGAACTTTTCTTTTCCATGTTTAACTCAAGATTTCTGGATCCAATACAGAAGAGGAAGAAGAAGAAATATATGAAGAACTGATATTAGAAGGCGAGACTGATTCTGAAGCCTTACAAGATGCAGAAATAGAAGTGCAAGAAGAAGTAAGTGCAAAGGGAAAAGCAACACCTGCAGTCAATATTGATAGCGATTCCACAGATGAGGAAGAAGAAGCTTTGCTAGAGGCTCAACTGCAAGCTATAGCAGCAAAAAGCGCAGAAAATGTTAAAGCCAGCACAAAAGTAAGCGTAGATCCTGGTATAGAAACTGAATCTGAGCTAGAAGAAGAAGAACTAGAAGAAGAGGAAGAAGAAGAAGCTACGGTAGCAAAAAGCGCTGAGGTTACAGAAAATGTTAAAGCCAGTACAAAAGTAAGCGTAGATTCTGGTATAGAAACTGAATCCGAACTAGAAGCTGAAGAAGAAGAAGAAGAACTAGAAGAAGAGCTAGAAGAAGAAGAAGAAGATAGCGCTGAGGTCACAGAAAATGTTAAAGCCAGTACAAAAGTAAGCGTAGATTCTGATATAGAAGCTGAAGAAGAAGAAGAACTAGAAGAAGAAGAAGAAGGATCAGCAGTTTTTAAAACTACGGTAGCTGGTGGAGCACAAACAACAGACTTTTTTGAGAATTTAGATGAAGAGGAAGAAGAGGAAGAATTAGAAGCAAAGGAGGAGCAATCAGACGAAGAAGATGACAGCGAAATTGAACTTGAGTTAGAGCTAGAAGCCGAGGAAGATGCCGAAGCAGAAGCCAACCTTAAACAGAAACAAAGTGCAAAACAAAGCGTTTTGAAACAGCAACGCAAGGAAGAACTGTTAGCAGAACAAGAGGCGGAAGAAGAAGAGGAAACTATTGAAGAAGTAAGCATAGAAGTCGTATCACCAAAGAAAGCTCCGAAGAAGCATTTGAAAGTTCATATCAGCGATCCCGAATTCGAACAGTAAGTAACGTTTATTCTTATTTTATCAATTATGGATTAATCCTAAGTAAAAAGGATAGTGCCGCCTAACCGGTATAGTGATTAACGTCGTTGACTGCCGTGCTGAAGGGCCGGTTTCGAATCTCTAAGAAAACGGGGATGTTTGTAAATGTATAGCGTCGGTGCAGCATGGTGGCACGACATGGCATATGTGGCGAGCCGAAAGTCTCCTTGCTACGAGGAATTACTTGGGCTTTGGCTGATGTTACTGTCAGACAAGAGGGCATAGGTAACAACAACAAAAATGATCGCCGTCATATTTAAGGAAAAGTTTTTGAAGAAAGTAACATGCAAAATTAAACAAAAAATTATTTTAATACTAAGCAATTAAGGCGGGAAAAAACAGTGATAGAGAAGCTTATTTGCGCAGGTAGGATTTGAATACACGAACAATGAATATATTCTAAAGTTAATACCGCTGCTTGGTTTAAAGAACTAAAAAAACAACCTGTTCGAATTACGAACGTTATCAACTTATTGAAATATATATAAAGCCAGGAATTAAAAGAATGTCTTGAGGTTTTTCAGGTTAAGTAGAATTAAGTATGTTAACATTAAAAAGAGTTCTATTAGGTAACAAAGCTTTATAAGTCATGCAAAATAGCATCATGCAAAAAAATCAGAATAACTTTGAAATGTAAGAATTGAATAAAATCTTAATGATTATAATTCTAGGAATAAATTAATAAGGTCGTACTTGATCTGGTAACGCTAGTTTTAGTCCTATAACCCTAACAGATGTGAAGCGAGTTATCGCTAAGTCTGCGATAAACAACAAAGACTTAAGAAGGTTATAAACTTTTTATATAATATAACTTTTTTTATAAGCAGAACAATAATCACATTGTACAATAATTATGCATAATTGTACAATAATCAGAACTCGCGGTTGCAAATAAATATGACAGGTGACAGGTAAGAGGAGGTACAGGCGAACATGTCAAATTTGTTATAAAAAGCCGTCCGCACATCCGGACGGCTTTTTATGACAAATCGGGTATCGTCCGGTAACCGCAATTGTCTAGTTGAGCAGTGGTTTTATGTTCCACAGCATACACTACAATTGGCCAGACATATACATGTACTTAATACATACCGTAACATATACATATCATAGCCCTTAATCATTTACATATATCATGTTTTTAAACATACAATACATAAAATTGGATAAATATTGGAAAAACAAATGCCTACGAAAAAAATCATATTCATGCCCCGATATATACACACACCATGACATATACGAACCATGTATACAGATCCAACTGTTATTTAAACATATAAATACTAATAGATATAAGAAATGTTGGAACAGCATATACACACGAAAAATTAACCTATACATTCTAGTAAATGTGATAAATATTGGAAAAGTAGGTACATACGAAACATCATGTACGTACCTTAACTTATACATACCGTGATACACTGACTACCAATAAGTATTTGGACACCTATGCAAATGACGATATCTGCGGTCCTAAGGTACGTCGCGGACTCCGCCGGTATATATCGTGTACGAAACAGCATCGGCTTTAGTCGCATGCAAGATGCCTCGCATTTCGGAGCTCTCTGATTTCGAGAAAGGTATAATTATTGGGTATCACAAATGTGGCCGATCCTTAAGGGACATATCTAGCGATCTGAAGTACCCAAAATCGACAGTGGCTTATGTGATTAAGAAGTGGAAGGTGAGCGGTGATTGTCGGAATGTACCCCGAGTCGGCAGAGCAACGAAACTGGGAGATAGAGACCGACGAGTGCTGTCCAGAGAAATTCGGAAGAACCGTACCCAACCGATGGCCCTCATCCACGAGGAGTTTCAACAGGCATCGTGGAGTATTGTTTCAATGAATAACATCCGTAAGGAAGCACATCTGCTTGGTTTTCATGGTCGTGCTGCTGCCCATAAGCCTTTGATCACAAAGTCCAACCGCGTTTTGCTCGGTTAATGTGGTGCAAAGCACATCGAAATTGGACCGTAGATCAGTGGAAACGGGTTCTTTGGAATTATGAATCAAGGTTCACCATTTACCGTTCGGATGGCAGGGTCTGGGTCTGGCGTCTACCTGGAACGTCTCCTGCCAGAATGCATTGTGCCAACAGTCAAGTTCGGCGGAGGTGGAATTATGGTCTGCGGGTGTTTCTCCTGGTATGGGCTGGGACCCTTGGTTCCCATTCATGGTAAGCTCAACTCCGATGCCTACTGCACTATTTTGGATGACAATGTGCTTCCTACGTTGTGGCAGTTTTACGGGTTGGACCCCTGTTACTTTCAGGACGGCAATGCCAGTTGTCATGTTTCGAGGTTAACCAAGGCTGGGTATGGTGCCAATGTAGTTCATCGAATGGACTGGCCTGCCCAGAGTCCAGACCTGAACCCTATCGAGAACCTCTGGGATGAGTTGCATCGCCGAATTCAGGGGTGCACTACCCGTGCAAAATCGGTGAATGAACTTCTATGTCTTCTCCAAGCCGAGTGGAGAAAAAATACACTAGCTGTCATAAAAGACTTGTGGAAGTATGCCCCGGAGGGTCCACACTGTAATTACCTCTCGTGGAGGCTCTACCAACTATTGATTTTGAATAAAGTTAGTTTTTCTTTTCTATCACAGGTGTCCAAATACTTATTGGTAGTCAATGTATATATATGCCATACACATATATCCTACTATTGTTTAAACTATACATACTATTAAACACGATGAATATTGGAAAAACATATACATACAAAAATCAGATACCTAACATGGCATATACCAGGGTTGGCCAAACTTCATGTCAGTAAGAGCCGAGTATTTGAATTCAGGAATGTTCGAGAGCCGCATCTAGATTTTCTAAAAGCCACAAGTTCTATGAACTATACATCCTTATAGAAGTAGTGGAGGAGATTTTAGATAGAAAGAAAACCCTGATAACTTTGTCAAAAGAGTCTAAACTAATTAATTACTTCCTTTTGGACACTGAATAGTTTTAGTTTACTATATTTCATTCATATATTTTATATGCACGAGCTGCACAAATTGCCTGCGAGAGCCGTATCAGGCTCGCGAATCGCACTTTGGCCAGCCCTGGCATATGCATTACATACATCCTGGTATTGCTTAGGCCTATACGTTCAATTAAAAATGATAATTATTGGAAAAACTGATATATACGAATAATCATCTACGTACCCTAACGTCTACATACCATGACATATACATGCCATACACACGTTTGTTACATACACACGCATGTTTAGACATGATAAATATTGGCAAATATATACCTTCCAAAAAAAAAAAAAAAAAGTGTTGATACCTTAACATACACATACCGTGACATATACATGCCACACCCATTTGCTACTATTATATAACCATATATATTCTATTTGACATGATTAATATTGGTAAGCATCTACCTAGGGAGAATACTACACATACCGCAACAAATCTATACATACTACTATCTAATGCTGGGCACTTATTAGCACTAGTGGTGAGAGCAGGTAGGTAGGTAGGTAGGTGACGGAGGACTGGGATGCCTGATGTATAATATAGGTAAACAGGCATATGTCCCGCGTCCTTCCAGGACCGAATCGGAAGTTTATTTAGTTTTAAAAGAAATGCATACATTGCCATACAAGGGCTCTTCATGCGTTCAGATGATGGTGGACATATACATGTATAACATATGAGACACATAACATGTGAGAGCAGGTAGTGAAATTTAATTTAAGCGTTGAATAGTCGTTAAAAAACTATACTATTAAATGCTAAACTAGAAGATGACTCAATAATTTTACTGTCGCGATAGAAATCGGTGGAAAGAGGACTGCTAGAGTTGCTACAGTTGGCAGAAACTAACCAAGCAGCGCAAAATGCTCAAAACAGTCTCTGTCTCAAATCCCAAACCTCAGCTTCATTACTCGCAATTAATTTCCATTCTGGTGAGGAATACGGAATGTAGAAGTTACAGTAAAGACTGAAATCATAACAACTGGTTAATAAATATAAGATATCCTACAAGGTTTTAGGCGATACATAAACAAGTTATAAATTATTCTGTTTTGCCTTAAGGTAGTAAATTCTCTTTGTAAAAATTTTTATACAACTAAAAGAAATTGTGGTTTCATGTTTTATTTCCCATCTGGAATACGTAATATATTCAAAACCTTACAAGAAAAAAAAAGGGGGGGGGAGAACATTTTTACGTTATTTTCTTTTCGGTAATTATTTCTTTTGTAATTATTCTATTTTCCCTTTAGTAAATTCTTTTTGTAAAATTTTTTACGAAACTAAAAGAAATTGTAGTCTTATATTTTATTTCCCATTTGGAATAAGTAATTTAATTCGAACTTATATGGCAAAAAAGAAAACATTTTTTGTTATTTTCTTGTTTGCCTGGAAAATCAAAGATCGTGATTGAAAAAATGTTATGACACATACAAAATTATTTTGCTCATTGTAAGTATTATTAAGTATTTTGATTGTTTTGGTAATTTTAAAATAGCATAATATCATACTTTATTTTCGTATGATAGAAAAAATTTATATGTTGTTTATCGAGTCATCCTTAATCTTGTTATAAAAAAGTTTTTAGTTCAAGAAGAGGAGAATTTTAATAGAAATTTTATTAAAAATATTTAATATGAAATCTCTCTAAGCATATGCATAAGAATGCATAATAAAAGACCTCATTATGCAAATTGTGTGTTTAGAGAAGAATTACTATTATAATATTACATTCGTAAAATTTATTTAGGATAAAAATCGATAGTTAGAACGATTGCCTAATTTTTTTAAGCTGCTTTGAGATCAAATCTTTTGTTTTATTTGAAGTAACACAAACTATGCCTATTTTGTCACATGGAAGTTTGCAAAAGTTTTCAATTCTTTATGCTTAAAATAAAAAACAAAATTAGCTCTACGTTATACAATTATTTTTCTGCAAAATAAAAATAGTTAAAAAAGAAAGCTTACCATTTTAAAGATGGTTATAGAGGAGAAGTATCAAGGAGCTACAACAGAAACTAGTTCCAGCACTTGCCCAGCATTCTAACGCGTATTAAGTATTCCAGCTTTTTTTCTGTGTCATGTTAGTTGAAAAAACACTGCTATTATTTTAAGAAGATTAGTTCTTATACTGCTGGAATCTTCGGCTGCGCTTTTTCATTCCTTCTTGAGAATATATAAGTGATAACACCGTGTCTTCCAAACACTTTGTGTTTAAGCATCATTCGTGCCATGATTTCATACACAAAACTCTAAATGTACCTTAAGTGCAGACACTTTATGCGAGTCTGATTGCAAAAACCAAATTTCAGAGGAAATAGTCTTTCTTGGAGGTTTATAGGTTCTTTGTTTTACATCAAAAATAAATCTAATAGATTGCCGTATGAATATATAGTAGCCAACTAGATTGGAAAATGGCACTCAGTTTATCATAGCAAATGCTGTTAGAAAAGCATTTAAACTTTTATTTTCACAGTGTAGAGTTACTAGTCAGAACTTACTGTTCTCTAGTTGAGTTTAATAAGAGTTTTTTTTTTATTTTTAGGAAATTATACAGGAAATATCAAGACTACGTATCTATACAGGATTTCAGACATTATGTATTAAGAGAAGTCGATGCGGTTCGCAGGGACTTCTACATAGACGAAACTATAAACAGAACAGAAGAACGACAGGACGATGAGGCTTACTACAGTACAAGAGAGCGTGACGTCTATGGCTATTTCGATAAAACAACTGAACGAGAAAATGATGAAGCTTTCGATAGGTAAGTTGTGTGTGAATTCAGATGCTATATTTGATTGATTTCGAAAAAGCCGGGTATTTGTTTTGAAGATTACAAACAGAAATGAAACAGATAAAATTAGCTTACGATCGTGAAAATAGTTTACCATCTGTACCGTCTTCAAGATACATTACAGCATAAATTATAAAAGATATCGCATTCTATTGAAGTAAAAATATTGTGTAGATCTTTCTGTTAACGTACATTTCCTTAAAAAGTTAAAAGGTTACACGTTGACTGCATCACGTGATGAGAGTCTTATGATTAGGAGAAGTCAGATAGGGCCATCGGAAAGTAATGCCTTCAAACGAAAATTAAAATATTCATGCTCATTTTACTGCTTCAAGCTGCTTGTCATTTCGAACGCTTCCACAATTCCTACTGATGCTGCTTACCAGTAGCATCATAATCAAAACAGTTTCCAAAGAATCTTAGACTGTAGGCCTTTGCTTAAAGCAATAGCACACAGAATTTCTTTCCAATGGATTCCAGCCCACTGTGGAATTATGGGAAACAAAAAAGCTGATACGTTGGCTAAGAAAGGAACTTTGATAATACAACGCATTAATCAACCGCTTTCTCTTCATATGACTAAATTGCTTGTTAACCTGACTCTTAAGAAAATTCTTAAGCAGGATATATGATTCAAGGTGCTATGGATAAGAGAGGGAGGATTCAGAGGGAAGAGAAAACTTTCATTCCCAGTTTTCCAAGAAAGACAGCGGTAGCTCTATTTAGACGCCTGACCGGACATGACTGTTTATGAGACCACCTCTACAGAGTTGGAATAGTGGATTCCCCAAACTGTATTTTGCGTGACTCCAATCGGCCTACGATTTTTGAATATTTAAATAATTGTTGCACTTTCTCGGTATGAAGACGTTGTTAAAAAGTACTGGAGAGCCTGTGAACTAATGGCTTAAGCGCTAACGTTTGGTATTTGTAAAATAAAATAAAAATGCTGCTCATCATTACTTCTGCGAGTTTCTTCGAAACATTTTCCCACGTGCCCATATATGCTTCAAGTTGTAAGCATTTATTTTGTTCACTTTTCCACAAACGAAAACGGATGGATCGTGGGTGTGATGATTGGATTATTCAGATCATTGTAAAACACTAAAGGGCTATCTGCCTAGGAGAAAGAAGGCCTTTCAGAAGGGCGTTTAAGAGGAGTAAGCTTTTATTCACGTCACACTTGTGGGAAACTATGAAAATTCCCACTCGTTTTTGAGCCCGGTTGAACTTTAGGGGTTTTATGGCTCTGTTGCTAGAGGGCAGTCATTCGAAGAGCTCTTATATTCCGCAGGAAATTAAGAGAGTCCTTTCTCTACATTGCTGCTTCTCTTTAAATATTATTTTGTTCTGCTAACTTATTTGGAGGGAATATGCAGAACATAGAGAAATAAGTTAAGGGGCAGAATAATTAGAACACCATAATAAATGAGTAACCGAAACCTGACAAATTAATACCAATCTTTCATATTTCAAAGTATTGAAATATAGATTCTAAATTTTACCTTATCAAAAATGATGGATCTATTTCACTTCGGAATAGAGAGACCACACAATGCCCTCTCATTGCACATTTGGCTTATTTTTTACTGAAATCAATTCCAATAAATAAAAAATAATTTGTTAAAGTTTACGTATTATTACGTATTATTACTACTTCAGCTACATTCACTGTCTTATACGTATTTACTTATTTTGTTCCAGGTACAAGCTTCGTCCGAGACTGCAGAAGAAAGCCGGTGATCCTGATGTTGGAATTAAAATGTTGGGACACTTCTCCTCTTTCCCCCTCGGTATTGCCCCGATACCTTTCTTGGAGTGGACTCATCCTGATGGAGAAATTGGAGTCGCACAAGGTAAGAGTTATTTATAGGCTCTGTAACAATATTTGATGTTACAAAATGTGTTTAAACTGCCCAAGGGAAAGAGATATAATAGATCAATTTTATAAATGATTAATCTTCAGCTAATACCTCGCTATCAGTTATAACTTATTTGGGACTCGTGGTAATGGTTATAATATACTATATCAGAGTTACGGATTTTGTGCAGATCGGGTTTAAGTCTCAAATAGTCTGGAGGAACGAAACGTGTATTCGGAGCTCATTAATCGACCAAATTTAAAATTTCAAACACTTTTCCCTTCACCTTGTTCTGTTTGAGACGTTAAACAAGGGTCATTAATGCTTTTTTTATCAACCGTTTTACAATGTTTTAAGTGTAACTTTCAATTTTTCTCTGATAAATTTACATTTTAATTTTAATAAACCTTTAAGTGTTTACGGTTCAAGATCACCCGTTCAGTAGGATTTATAATATCACTTCACCCTATCTTTCCTTAAGTAGGATAATAAGGATTCCCTTTTCCACATAACCTTAACTTTCCTTCATCTCAAAATTGATTATATATAATATCCACTATATTACCCGCTCGATGAGCTCAGTTTTTTATTACAATTTATCAACGCATAAATGATGATAAATTGTGCATTTTCTACTTTAAACGTGATTGAATTATGTTGTCCTTATGTTCCGGTTAAGGTTTTTATGCGTTTAGTTAATCTGCATGCAGTAGTTGTAGAATTAAGATTAATTTAAAAGTTTAAGTCACCCTGGGCCTAACGAGGCCACCAGTTGTTTATATTTGAAACTCTTAGTAGAATAGTGAATTAAGTCAGTCTGTGCACCAATTGCAGTGTCGCTTTGCCGAGTAAGGCCAAAAGTAAACTTTCAGTTTTGAACATCGAAAAATCCGTCTTCTTGCTCGCTGGCTGAATTGTTTGTTTTTGGGTAGAAATTCTAATTCCAAATTTTTTTTTTAACTGTTTCAACCTGTATTAGGTATTTTATGCTTTTCTGTATTTTAGAATTTTTAATGAAGATGTTTTGGGTTTTTATGTATTGCCTTTCTTCGAAGTGAGAAGTGAATTAATTGAATGAGAAATATATCTCTAAATAAAATTCGAGGAAATAATTTTAAATGAAATGCAGTAAAAGTGTGTATAATTTAATGGGCCATACAAGGAAATCATATGGTGCCCACATCAGATTTTTTTTTTGTATTTTGTTTTGCATCATTGCTATTATTTGCTGCAGCCATCAGCGCGTAGTTGAATTAAGTTTCGAACTATTTTTTAGATTGTTTTTATTCATATATATATACATGATTTCGATATCTTTACTGATTCAAACACAGTTACTGTGAATCTTCCCTTACACTAGTTTACAGTTATATATATGATTTCGATATTATTATTGATTCAAACACAGTTACGATGAATCTGCACTTACTCTAGTTTACATTTAAAAAGTTAGCTAAATATCCTTCAAACAATTCTTCCGCCCTTGTCTAACATAAACTTCTACAGAAAATATTTATGTGCTTTAAAACCGAAAGAAGCATAGCACAGTTGAATTTAAACTAATCTGTACATTAAAATATATGATACATCTTTCCTAATGGTACCTCTGGATGTAATCTGACGTTATTTGTTGTAATTCAAAATTAGCGCTGTTTTACCAAGAAATAAAATTTCGAAATTAATTAATTAAGTTTTATTCTTGTGCAGCTGCTCAGTCTTTCATTGTGCCGATGATCGTCAGCGCCTTTTCTAACACGTATTTGGAAGAAATCCGTTTCAGCGCTCCTCATGCCAAACTCTGGATGGAGACCTACATTTTTAAAGATGGACGTATCACCGAAAACATTGTTAACAGAGCTGATGTTGTTGGATATCAAGCCATCGTAGTTACCGTAGATGCTCCTGTTTACTCTTCGAACTACATAGACTGGAGATCAGATTTTGTCTTACCTACATATTTAAGGTAAAAATAGAATAAATAAAGCATAAAATCATTTTTGCTTGTTTTAGTTATCCTTAGTAGCAGTGCCATTTAACTTGAAAATGTTGATGCGACAGTAGATTGTTTCTAGAAATGTTTAGCGATATCAAGACTAAGGAAACTCAGAGAATGCGAATGGTATGAAATTAGTAATTGAAAATTTACTACAGTGAAAATCGATGTTTTATGTTCTCTTAATATTTAAGATATTTGATTTTAATAAACTATTGAATGCAGAATAGAAATTCACATTGAAGTGCAACAACCAAATAACGGGGCAGAATAATTATAGGTTTTAGAAAGCTTATAAGATAGATGAAAAAAAATCCGCTATAAACAATTAATGACTACCAAAATATGATATAAAACGCCTTTCGTTTGCTCTTCAAATTTTAATAATGCTTCGCTAATCAAAGGAACAAAATGACCCATTTAAAAGTAATGTTTGCATATTAATAATATTTTCATACTTATCAATGACAACATTTCATTAACGTTATCCTACCAATTTCAATTAATTTTTACTTCTGGCAGTCATTTATTATACTGGTAGGGATCTGTACCCTGGTAGTCTTGGAACTGGGGATTAAAAAAAAAAAATGAGGCTGGCTTAATCCCAACTCCCAGCAGGTCATGGTAGCATAAATCCCCAAGCTAAATGTACCAATAGCTTTCGTAGTGTGCTCCTAGAACCATGGAGGTAGGAAGTAAATGGAGTCGCCCTAAACAAGTTTCTCCCGTACCCTGCTCTGAAGCACCGGCGATCCCTACGTGGTGACCAAAACATTGGGTCATTTACCATTGAGTTCTATAGGATTTGACGCGTTCGGATGTAAATATTTTGTAATTACGACGTAAATATACATATAAATGTATATATTTTCTTTTTCTACAACACTTCAGAGTCCTAAATATGTGAAAACAACATATTTTTAAACAACATTTCATTCTGAACGGAATTAACTTTTCACAGGACAGTTTTCTCAGAATGGTTTAATTTGAATGAAATATTTTCACAAGTTTTCGTTAATTACATTAGAAAAAAAAAATTAAGGTAATTCGATTTTATTCGGTTAAGGTACAAAAATTAAGATCAAAGTTTATTGTATTATTAATATTAAAATTATGCATTATTCTTGTCTATTTATAGAGTTTCTTCCTAAAATACTTTCTTAAATATGACATGATTTTTTGGCTTCTGAGGCATCTTTTAAATAGAAAAATGTAAGTCAATTTATAATTAATGCTCTATTCGGTTCATTTTAAATATTAAATAGGTATTAAATAGTACTTGACTTTCTCTGAACATTTCTGAAAGGGAATAAAATAATTTTTTTTTAAGTATTATTTAAAACTTGTAACTGAGTTATTATAAAATGTAAGGGGAATAATTCTTTTAATTATACTTATCAGATTTTTTTTTTACCCTTCATTTCAACAATACATATTCCAAAACTCTTTATTACGTTCTTAAGTGCGCATCTCATAGCATTTGCTTTACAATGCCATTTAACAGATTGCTTTCCAATACGAACAATTCTTGCTTAAATAGTTTTATAACGTATTTGTCAACATGATTTCAATTTATGTTTACAATTCAATATTAAGGTTATTATATATTTAGATAACATTTATAATCATTATAAATTAGATACATTTAATAAGTAGATTTCTTCACAGTACTTTCACAGTTGTTTATAAGTGAATAAATTCTTCATTTCTAATACATTTATAAATAATTTAATGAATATTTAAGTATTTTGTCAAAGGCAGATACATGCTTTTTGCAAGCACATGCATAAATACCCATACATATTTCCTATTTTTCATTTCCGGCATGTGCAAATCTTTAATTTCTGTGCATTCACTATATTTTTCGTGTAAAGTAAGTTACACTAATTTAGCATACACCCGAAAGTTTTACATAAAAAATATATATGAATATAATTTGAATGAAAATTATAAGTATTATTTTTAATACCCACTCAAAGGTCAGTTTTTCTTCAAAATTCCTCCACGATGGCATCTCTCTCTTTAGACAGATAGCCCTTGCATGCATTACTCTATTTAATAAAAACTTAATCTGACCTATGTGCCTGATTACAAAATTTTAACATACATAATTTTATATTTATAAAAAAACGTGTAAGCCCAAAGTGATTATTTTTCAGATATATAAAATTAAAACGATGGGTTTAAAATGAGCAGCAGTAAAGCCTCTCCTCTAAAAAAATTTTAAAAGGTACATGTTACATACAATAATATATGGATGTGAAAAAAATTTGTTTTATTTAAAACATTTTGACGTTTGGAAAATAAAATAAAAGTATCGAATACTCTATCAAGGGTATCGAAAGACGTATACAATTTTAAATGTACCGTAAGGTATTTTTCATTCCTTAAGCATAACATTTTTCTTAAAATCTATATTTTTGTAGTGCAACAGCTTATAATTTTATGAAACAAATTCATAATCAAAATCGCTGTTGTTAGTTATCGAAAAATAACCAAGATGTGATTTTTGCGTAAATGTCACTAAACTATACAAATTGCTATTATCCATCACACTATGAATGTTTCTTTCATGCGAAAGTGTCCCTTTTTCGATTTCTATGGAACTGTCGGGTGTCGAAATACTATCAGAATCTTGTCAAGCGAGCTTCTGAATGTAAACAAAGAACACCCCATCTGGTGATCCAAGCTTCAAAGCAGTGGTTCACTTTTAGCGCGGGTTGGCCCCTCCTCCCTTTCCTACCTCCATGCCTAGAACCTTTCCTCAGCGAGGAATAGCTGGCGTAATACTGCCGGGCATCAAACGACCAATCAAATCTTCAGGCTTATATTGAGCATCCCATTGTAGTCTCTGGTTCTTGGAAGTAGTGACCCTAGTTAAGCAGTTCAAAGGTGGGTAAGAGATCCGGTAATTGTGGAACTGGTCGGCAGCAAATGAACTTTTACTAGATCTCCAAGCTGGCTTTTTATAGGATTTCCGCCTCCCGCCTAGTACGGAGGTTAAATTTGGGGGAATAGTCCATGTTGTGTTCTAAGTAATGAGGAGGTACATTTATTTAACAAATCTAATATTTATCTCATAAATACACATAGTTAACCCTCTGACCGGCCAGGGTTTTTGCTACGAAAGCAAACATTTCTCAAAACTGCTATGAGAAAAAATTATTTTCTGGGTTTAATGTAAAAATTCTCCTGGCCTATTTTATTCCTAGATTTGTGTACTTTTAATATATTGCCTTAATTTCTTCGGTATATTTTAATATGCACGTATATATACGTTCTTACAGATATCACAAAAATATTCCAGACCGTATATGTACGTTCTTACAGATATCACAAAGATATTCTAAGCCGTATATATACATTCTTACAGATATTACAAAAATATTCTAGGCCGTATATATACGGCCTTGTCGGTTAGAGGGATTGGTTAATAAAAGACGTTCCTAACGCCATGGATCTCGGATACAGAATTTCATTCGATGTCTCCTCTTATACACTTTTTCTGCACCAAAATGTGAAAAGTAATGAAAATAATAAAAACCTCTATCTACATATAAGTTTCAAATTACAGATGTTCATTTCATTTAAAATTTTTTTTTGAATGACAAAAAATATTTTTTTGATTAGAATGCAGTTATGGGTAGTATTTTTATTTCAAAAGGGAAGCAAATTTATTGGAAAGATTTCTTGCTAGATTTTAGTTCAGCATTGTTGCAGAATAAGGAAATTTTACAGTTTCTATTTAATCATACCTACTATTTGTATGTGTGAGTCATTAAGTCTCATTCTAAAAATCCAATTTTGATGTTTTTAAATAGGCGCATCATGCATATTATGCATGTAAGAGTAAATACGCCCATGTTTTGAAGTTGTAGTAGTTTATTTGAAATAATAAAGAATATTACCTAATTACTTTTGAAGGCACATCCATTGGAATGCACCTACTTTTCTAACGCTTCTGTCATTAATGAAAACATCAGTGCAATGCCACTTTTCGTATTCGTTACAGATTGTCTGCCGAATCGTTCTGGATAACTTGAATTGTCTGTAAAGGTTCACCTGGTAGAATCATCTTGATAAAAGAAGCAGTGGGGGGGTCAAAGAGTGAAAAATATTCCAAATGGTGAGCATAAGGATAAGATAAGGGGGAGTTTCTAATCAAAGAAGCTCAATCAGGTGCTATGTATTCGAAATGTTACAACGGCGAGGATGGTCAAAAATATTTTAAGTTCATTTGCATAACAATATAAACTACGCTGTTTTGGCGATAAATCTTTAACTTTTCTTCGGCAGAAAGTGGCTATAACATCTGAGAACCAAATTCAAGTGATGCAAATTTACTGCATTTCATGCGACTTCTCTATAAATCTTTCTAATACAGCAGTATGTGTTATTAAAATGCTGAAGTGGAATTTTTGATGGATCTGCACGATTCATATTCCAGCTGTGCTAAATTTATGCCATTTTACTGGCATTAGGCTAAAATCGGAAGAATCAGCGGAAATGTTTTAAAATTTGAACGTTTTAAAGCGTTTTTAAACTTAACTTTTAAAAATATTTAAAAAACATTTTTAATTTACATATTTTATAACTTGCTGTTTATCTTATCTTAAATAAAAAAAAAAAAGATTAAATTTTGGAATTGCGTAGGACTATCATAAGAAAAAAAAATGCGAATACTGCATTAACTAATATATCAGCCAAAAATGGAGTAAAAGCAAAAATCCTTCTTTTCAACTCCAAAAGTAATATAATTTAAAGGAAAAGAAAATCGCGCGTTGGGATAAAGTCTAATTTATGAAGAAACATCTTTTAACACTTTCATTTGAGAATTATGAAAATCTTTAGCTTTTACTAAGAGGTAAAACTTTCAGTTAAATGAAGTTTATAAAATATTTAATATAGGATCTAATTTATTAGGGTTCCTAACATTGAAGATCATGACGTCAACATTGAACTTCCTAATTTTGAGTTTGCTGACGCACCTGAATCAGTTGAATTCCAAACTACGGTGAAAAAGACAAAAACACATAAGAAAAATCCGGATGCAGAAACCGAAGCATTGTGAGTATGCTTGTTATTTCTTGTTTTAAAATTAAAATTTATTATTTTATTAAAAACTGTATCTGTTCGATTATCGGAAATTAAGAAACAATGCAAACTTTGGAGACTGGGGCATATGTAACTACAGTGCTGAATAATTTTAATAAATTTTCTGTTATGTTTCACATTTTCTCATTTAGTGTAAAAAATAACCTGTTTCGACTGTAAAACATTTACTTTTCCGAAACTTTCTTTGCTTATTTTTCATGATTTAGTTCTTTTTAGCAAACTTCTTTTCTCCCAAAAAATGTATTAGCTCTTTTACCTACATCACTTTTACATACCTTTGTAAAGAAAAGAAATAGCATTTTTATGGAATAAAAATTTATTTAATATAGTAAAAAGTGTTATTTATAGTACTTAGGGGAAAATTTGATGATCACAAAAGATTCCTTTAATAAATAGCTATAGTACATTGCGATTAAAATTGCAGTATCAAAAAGCACAACAGATGTTACAAAACTAAGTTCATTTTATAAATGCAAGTGATGGAGGACGGGAATACATGGTGGCTAGCATTTGCTAAACGGGTTTACCAGTGTTACCATCTATCTATAGAGGTGGCATCTCCTTTAGGGCCCAGACACGCCTCTTCGGGAGTTCATTTGAAATATTAAGTTATATTACCAAATAAGGGCTGTTGATATATTTCAGTTTATTTTACAAATTTCTCCTGTTATAAATATTAATTTAAATTAGTTATTTAAATAGAGTTTGGTACGATTAGTATCGAAAATGGCCTCCGTGAGAATCTGCTGTTGTATGGTGAAGTATAGAGTGGAAGAGGCTTTGCATGACATTTTACAGGCAGTTGGAATTCGTTTTGAGATTTCTTCTTTTGTAGTTGCTAGTAGTCTTTGTTATGCTAGTGCATATTACGTCATATACCCAATATGTAAAACAGGAAAACGGGGAAAGTTCTAGTGAATGAACTGATCAAGACAGAATCGAAACATCCCTCATGCTGAGGAAATATCAGACGTTGAATGAGATGCTGGTTACGCATTGTCTATTTGCAAGGTGGTTCTATGAAATTATCATCTACAGATCTTAGTATGTACTAGCGGGCAAGCCCGCCAGCTGAGCGGGCTGAAGCCCGCTTATCATTGTTCGTTTTTAAAAGAATTTCCATGTTAAAATTCGTGTACATTCGAAAGTTGGACCGAACTACCAGTTTCCGGCGATTTTAACCGGTTTATTCCCGTATGCATCCATACGGTACTGCATACACCTTACACATGCGGAAAATCATGTAAACACCCATTCAGCCAGCCCGTTCCCCGGGATCTAAAGTCGGACCGAATTACCAGTGTTCATCGGTCTTGAGCGGGCTGCGCTCAAGACCGATGATCAAGATCACATATACATCCAGAAGACACTGCATATATGATACACATGCGGATAATGACGAAAACACCCCTGCAACCAGCCTGCTCGCCAGGACTTGTAAGTTGGACCGAACTACCAGTGTTCAGCTTTCTTGCGCGGGCTGCGCCCGCTTTGTTAACATATTCATGGAAGAGATACTGCATAAACGATAACATGCGTAAGATCAAGAAAATACCTATGGAGCCAGCCCGTACGCCGATATCGATAGCTGGACCGAACTACCGGTGTTAATCGGTTTTGAGCGGGCTGCGCCCGCTTTATTCACATATTCATCCAGAAGACACTGCATACACGATACACATGCGGAAAATCGCGAAAACACCCATGCAGACAGCCTGCTCGCCAGGACTCGTAAGTTGGAGCGAACTACCAGTGTTCAGCTTTCTTGCGCAGGCTGCGCCCGCTTTATTCATTTATGCATCCAGAAGACACTGCATACACGATACACATGCGTAAAATCACAAAAACACCCGTATAGCCTGCCTGCTCGCTTGGATTCGAAAGTTGGACCGAACTACCAGTGTTCAGTGTCTTTACAACTCAGCCGCTAATCGGCCGACACATGCGGAAAATGACGAAAACACCCCTGCAGCCAGCCTGCTCGCCAGGATTTCTAAGTTGGACCGAACTACCAGTGTTCAGCTTTCTTGCGCGGGCTGCGCCCGCTTTGTTAACATATTCATGGAGGAGATACTGCATAAACGATAACATGCGTAAGATCAAGAAAACACCTATGGAGCCAGCCCGTACGCCGATATCGATAGTTGGACCGAACTACCGGTGTTAATCGGTTTTGCGCGGGCTGCGCCCGCTTTATTCACATATGCTTCGAGAAGACATACCAGACAGAAATGGATCTTACGTCCACTTGTATCCTGTACCATAAACGATGCTGCATTGGTATGACGATATAGAAGGCAACTTTCCAACAAGCGGTTTCCTGCTGTAGCGTCTTAGGGTGCATCTCAATCGTAATATTGCATGCAGAAGCCTGATTTCTCTGAAAAGACGATATCATGCCATTCACGCGTTCATGTCAGTCATTCAGGGCATCACTAAAACCACAAAGTTATGTCGTTAAAAGGTAGGCAAAGCAATGATCATCGGAAAAATAGCTCGTGTCTCTGGCGACATTTTTTGTCTTATTACAGAGTGCATTTCTTGTTCTATAGAATGTGACTATACTGGTGTATAGACTGTTCTATAGAGTGTGACTGGTTCATATAGGTCATTTGCTTACGATGACCGTTATCTAAGCTCTTCAAGAGTCTAGGATTGTTAGCCCTATATCGCTTTATCTACCCTTTTTGGAACCACCAGTTCCATATTCACATGATAGTTTTCGGATTTCAACCAATGGTGGCAGCTATTTAGAGGTATGATTCGCAATCGGGGTATGTTATTATTGTATCCAAATCAAATTTATACAAAAGTTACTTTACATCTTGCTCGCGAAACCAAGGTATTTTCTACCTTCTTAAGTCAACAAAAAGAGGAAACATGATTTCTGTATATAAAAAATTCATTCTCTCTATTTCTCTTTTATGTTAATTTTAAAGTCGCCAAATACTTGTAGTCGCCAAATAAATTCTAAAGTCGCCAAATACTTGTAAATATTAAATTCTAAAGTCGCCAAATACTTGTAGTGTACCTAAAGTCGCCAAATACTCGCCAAATTCTGTGTTATATTTTTGCTTATGGAAAGGGCTTACTGTAGAAAATTCCTCATTTTTAGTATAAACATGGACCAGTTTTGTTTCTTAAAAAGTCCTCTATTAAAGCCTCATTTCCGTAAGCCGGTAACCTGACAGTGCGTTCTGTAATCAAATAATACAATCCAATCAAACTTCTGTGGAAAAAAAAAAAAAAAATGTGAGCTCTTACGCAGTTTTCATGAACATTATGAAAAACAGGTGCTTTTATGCTTGGAATGAAACCCATTTAATTAGTAATGTAGAATCTTTGGATTTTATTGAAAGCAAATATCGGTACAAAGATCAGGGTAAGCATTATGATGTAAATCTAGAACTCTTTTTACTTTTAAAGTTTAGAGACAGTATATTTAAGCGTTAAGTATATCTAGCTCTTGAAACCGTTGCATGGCTAGATTAACAAACGTTTCTGTTCCAATTGAACCTGACTTTAGCAGCGATTAACCCACTAATCTTAGACCTCTTACCCCGACGGGGTTTCGTTAAGCAATTCTAGATTTCGCAAAACTGCTATGAAGAAAAGGTATTTTCTTGATTTTAACGCCAAAATGCCCCTGATACTTTATATCAAAATTACGTACTTTTACTATATCGCCTTAATTTCTTGAACATAGTATTTCAAGATGCAATTGAATGCTGCATGATTTTATCATTAGATAGCGGTATGGTATATTCCTGAAAACTAACAAAGAAATGTTCAATTAATATCTTGGTGAATTGTGCACGACTTCTGCTTGTACTGTAAAAGAGTCAGAAAATCCCAAGCTGGGTACAATTCTGACGAAGTAACGGCTTTTATGGACAGCTTTAACCGGTGGAAGGAGATTTATAGATGGAGAGTGGCCTTTAAGTCTTACATTTAAGTTTTATAACGGGAGTACAGAAAGAAAAACCATTTCTCAGCCAATGGAAGAGCTCGCAAAAAGTCATACACAAAGAGCAAGAAACAAATTTTTAATTTTTTGGAGGGGGGCGATGTTTTAAGATATTTTGATATTTATGTAACGTACAAAGAGATTACACAAGCTATCAAGCAAAATTTTATCCCAAAGGACGTTAGCCCAGAAGGGCTATTAATTTCGTTTTGGAATTTTGCGTTGAAAACTTTAAATTAAACTTTAATGTAACTTTAAATGTTTCACTTTTCAAATTGTTGACACCAAATATGATCGCCCTGTGCTATATTTAAGGAAATTAAACAATGAAGAATATGCATAAATGTATGTATGTTTTTTGCATTGTGCTAAATCAACGGTACCTAGAGCCATCTAAGTTTGAATAACGTAATCCGCCTCCGAATATGGGCATCTGAAGGCCCTAATTTAGAATTTGGAATTAGTTTTATTATCGATTTCATATTTTGTAAGATTTTAACGAATTTTTTATTAACAAGTTCAATAATTTCAAAGCGAGCTATGGCAAAAGTGTGCGGGAAAAAAAAAAAAAAAAAAAAAAAAAAAAAAAAAAAAAAAAACATAATGTCTCCAACGCGCGAGACTGTGTATCGGAAATTCTAAAGATATGCTCATTTAAAAATTATTTTGTGATATTGCTGTTGAACTGAATTGTATGGTTTAAATGCGAAGATCATGATATTTAATAAATAAAGGTAACACAGAAAATGTTAATAAAACGCCTCTTTGGGCGTAATGTAAAATCTGAAAGCTTTCACATTTTTAAAATTTTTATTTCATTTTTTTTTATTGTAATTTTCTGCTTTCGTTGTTCTTCGTACGTAGAAAGATCCGGTCTTTGTCGAGATCTTTCAATTTCTTCACGGTTTCGTTCCTTTAAAATCAGTTAAATCTTGAATCAGGGAATAGGTTATTTGGATTTTAAGTTAGTCCAGGATCTGTGGTGCGTCTCTAAAGATAGGAGAGAAAGCGCATGCTAGGAACAAACGATTATCTAAAGATGGTTCTATAAAAAACAACAGCAGCAGTACCGAAGGTCTTTTTTGTACCTATGTTGTTATGTGGATTTAACTGTCCAGCTCTTTTAAAATTCAGGTTTACAGAATGTTACGCAGATTTAATTTTGAGTTGTAGTAATAATAAATACTGGAAATAACTGAAACTATAAAATTTTATTATTTGTAAATTAATTTATATTAGAAAACTTCTAATCGATTACGTAACTGAATAGCATTGTGAAGTTTACTGTGGTAGGAAGTTGCATTTTAAAACCTTGATGAGGTTAAATTAAATTTAATATGTAAGCAAAAGTAAAAGATTCTGATGTCTGGTGTATTAAAGAAGAAATTTTTAAGAATATGAACAAATTACCTTGCCCACTGAATTTTGGCAATGATAAAAGAAATTTCTTTTTTACTGATGTTTTTTATCGCGAAAATATTTTTCGTTTTCAATACCTAAAATAAAAGATCTTAATCTTCTTTCTTGCACTTGTTTTTATATATATTTTTGTTATTTGCAAATCGGGCACGGTATCTTTAAGAGGCTATGGATTGTAATCTTAAATGAACCTTGGCAATTTTCATTAAAATGATCTAATTCAATAGGTTCTAAGAGACTCTTTTAAATACTTTTAAGCTTTTATAAACTTTATCTTTCTTAACCTGGAGATTAAAGATTTAAATGTTACGATTTAAATGTTTAAACGAAATCGACGGAAGTGAATTTTTTAATTCATGACTTAAAACGTAATCTATGAATTTCTGGCTAGGCTTTCAATGATTTCAAGCATATTCTTCCTTGAAATCATTAAAAACCTTGCAATTAAAACCATTAAATCGCATTTCCAGCGAAGTTGAGAACATTGCTTCTAATTTTAACAAGTAGTGCATTGCATTCGGTCGAAAATTTATTAATTTATGAGAATTTATAGTAAAACCTTTTAATTGTACTCACTGATATAATTATTTTAACTTGAGAACGAAATGTGTATTTAAATTATGTCATCATAAGAACAATTAATTTAATGTTTAAAGTTAATTTAATTTTAATTACCAGCTTTAGCTATTAATATTTATTATGCATTTTAAAAGCATGTAGTTTCACACTGCATTGTAAATGCATTCACTCATTTAAATGAGTGCATTTACAATGTATCGTGAAATTGAAGCCACTCTCTTGCTGAAAGGGACACAGTAAACTTTTACCGTACTTTTACCGTACAGCAACTGCATTTAATAACCGTATGCAGGAGTCAGGATTGCGCGTAAAGTTATTGCCTGTGAGTTTGAAAGGGAGGAGGGGATAATATTTCATGATATTTATATAATGAGATATCTATTACAATTCTGACGCCGTATTTCAATATATATTCCAATAGACTATATACTAAATACGTTTTCTTCTAAACGCAGTTATGATTTGATTTATGCTTATAACAAATACACCTGGAGTGCACGTATTTCTGCAAAGAAAGCCAATTGAAAAGGTATATACAAATGTAAAATAAAATGGAATGTTTCTTGATATTCTCAGTGATGCTGGAAGCATTTTACTGCGAAATATCAAATAAAAGCAGGAAATCTAGTTAGTAAAGAAAAGGAATAGCGGGGAAACTAGTAGTTTATTTTATATAAACTCGGAAAATTGCCTTTCTGAGGCAGTAGAAAAATCTGTGATAATATTGACAAAAGTAGATTCAATTACCAAGAAAATGATAAGCATTGCAGATATTATGGGTAGTTACTATGGGCATTATATTCTTATCTTCTTTTGCACAGGAATATAATTTAATGTTGAACGGAAATACCCAATGTTTAAAAATAAATTTCTGTTTAGTTGAAATAAAAAGTATGATACTTGAGAATAAATAATTTATTTAAGATGGTCATATTTTTAAAAATGTAAATTAATTTTTGGAATCTATTTTAGCTCCACAAAGTTCTGATGATTCAAAGTTACAAATATATGAAATGATTATAGTTGCAAGACTTTAAAATTTTTTTTTAAAATTCCTTATGTGAAATATTTGTTTTAATATTTCAGTGGTGACGCGGGTTTTGATGGTATAGGCTTGGCAGGACTTAACCTAGATGTTGATGAGGATATTTTAGGCTCGGAACAGTTTGATTTAGATGGACTTTTAAACGTGAGAAAGTAAGTAAAATAATGCATATTTCATTTTTTTTACTCAACAATGTGTATTGTCTGTACTTCTGTTTAATGCAATATTATTTACTTATTAACTATTAGAATCAAACCTTTACAGAGACAAATTTAAAGTACGAGCTGAAGTATTAAACATGCGCTTATATTACTTATTCATTCAATTATGTTGTATTCACTATAATAGATTTATTGCTATGATGTGATGTTAGGTAATTTTGTTGTTAATAAACTGTTATCATATACCTATTAGCCATTAGCAGGCATTGTGAAAGGGGATAGTGGTTAGCGACCCTGACTGCCGTACCGAAGTGTTCGAGTCCTGGAGATGGCATAGATGTCTGTAAATGTATAGTGTCTGTGCAGCTTTTGGGGCACTCTAAATATTTACGTACACGTACAGACGTGACAAAAAAAAAAAAAAAAAAAAAAAAAAAAAAAAAAAAAACTCTTCTGAATCCATTCTAAAACCATTTTACAATCGATTCTAAAAAAATGAATCCTTTATTCACACAAAATACACATATTATGAAACACCAAATACAGTTGAAAAACAATTTTTACAATTAGAATTTGAATATCTATGCAACAACGAATAATTCGGTCAGCGTACAAGACGGCGGATTTTTCGGTGCACAAAATTGAAAGTTTACATGACAAAATGCATATTTTGTTTAAAAATGTATATATACAGACAACTCCTGTTTAGAAAACCTTCGGCATATTTTACTTAAAAAATTACGAATTTGGATCCCTAATAATTAATTATTTAATTATAAATAATTCATCTTAAATCCATAGCGTTTAAAATATGGAACTTTGTTTTCAAAATACTGATAGTGTATTATCAAAATGTGTATCATTAACAAGGATACTGTTTCTTGTTCAATCAGGAAACGTGGTTTGGATTTTGGCGACGCGCTTCAGGAACTAGACACCGATCTGGGAATATCTGCCGATGTTAAAGATGCACAGGCAAATGCTGGTGTAGACGCAGCTTTGAATATAGCCGTGAATGAAGGTCTACCTGATGATTTACTGGGTGACGGAGATGTCGAAGTCGTCGACGACACTCAGTTCTGGGACGGAAGGACTGACTCCTACTTCGAAGACTGGCCTGGTAGTTTTCCTCTTGGCTTCGGGCATAAAGATCACCTGGGTGACATCAAGGGACACCTCCTCGGAGAGGACAGAACAAAATTTTCTTTCTGTATTGGCAGTTACAAGTTTGAGGAGTATTTTGAATATCTTGTAGATCCCGATGCACAGTGGAAAGACTTCAAACACATTCGAGACCTTACCGATTTACCTCTAGTTGCGAAGGGAATTCTTACAGGTACTTTTGTTTCTAAAAATTATTTCAAAAGCGTGATATATACCAAGACTTTTTAATATAGCCGTAATTAAGAAAAATAATTAATGAAATATTACATCATATTATTTGATATAAAAAATACGATTTTGTCTAAAATATTATACTCCAGACTCATAAATGTTATATCTCTATACACACATGAGCTTTTTGATTGTTATGAGGTTGTACAGGAGCTTTTATTTCCAGTGCAAGTAATTATCATCATTACAAAACACCCATGATAATATAAGCAAAATAAACTATAGTTCTGTGTAAACATCATGTGGTTTTGAGAAAAATTAGAGAGACTTTTGTATCAAATTAAAAGCATTTTTAATTATTTAAAAATAAAAAAATAACAAGTTTTGTTGCAATATTTAAAAAGTTCATGTAAATCAATTCATTTATTTGTTCAAATTACTAGTGCATTTTTAAACTTAATTTCTAAGATATGCAGTAATGCTTTCTAACTAATAAAATTGCTATAATTCAAGCAATTTTTAAAATAAGATAAAATTATTTTTATTCTATACATAATTCAGTAAAATTCAGATAAAAATAAGATCGAGTTCGTAATAACTGCAGCCTGTTCTGAAAAATATACTCACTAATTAGAGGATATTCAGAATATTCAACCATCTGCTATTAAATTTGAAACCCGAAGAAGCAAACTGAAATTCCATTATTTTATTTTCCTTATTTTTGCTATTTCGGGAAAGAATTCGACTTTGACTATTTCGACTTTGTTTCCTACTGAGGCTGCAAAGTGCTCTGACTCATTTAAAACCAAGAGTCAATTTCTTTTCATAAACTTCGATGAAAACTTTTAAGAAAGAAGATGATTATTTATTTTATTTTATAAGTTTTCTTTTTTCACGGTTCACTTCACATGCTTTTATTTAATTCAGGCTGTGATGCAAGAGAAGCAGTGAGAAACGGTGCAAATGCCATCATCGTTTCTAACAATGGTGGAAGGCGCCTTGACGAAACACCTGCAACGGTAAATACTTTTGATAGTATTATTCAATTTTTATTTGAAAACTTTCCTTTGTACAAAATACGTAATATAATATGTTTTCTTTATTTGAAGATCGAAGCGCTTGCTGAAGTCGTGGAAGCTCTGGATCATCACGAATTTGACCACATCGAAATCTACTTGGATGGTGGAGTTCGTTTCGGTACCGACATCTTCAAAGCAGTTGCAATAGGGGCAGATGGTGTTTTCATCGGTCGACCTATTGCTTGGGGATCTTTGCATAGTGTAAGTACAACGATCAACTAAAATGTTTCTTATTGGAGGTAGTCAATGTTGATATCTGTTTTTAAAGTTACCTAGACGCTTTGATTAGCAGCAGATATGCTGACTTACAGAGATTTCGTTACTCTCTTTGGTAAAAATCTGAAACAGTACTTTACTGTACATATTTATTCTGATGCTCTCTCGGCCCTACAAGGCTTGGCGAATCCGGAACCAAGCAATAGACTTCTTTTGGATATAAAAAAAAACATTTATAACAAAATAAGAGAGAAAAATGGTATATATTTTCATTGGGTCAAGGCACATATTGGTTTTACCGGGAATGAGAGGGCGGATATGCTAGCTAAAGAGGCAGCCCTGGGAGAGGGTGATATTTATGACGATATTAATGATTACAGAAGAATTACCTTGAGGAAAACGAAAGCAAGTATAACTGAGAAATGGGCTCGGGAATGAAATGATTCAAATAAAAAAAAAGGGTTACTTGAAATTTTTGACCATATAAAGAAAAATGGATCTATTTAATAATATAGATACTATTCAAGTTATCACGGATCATGATAGATTCCCGGCCTATTTAAAATGTTTTAATCTCCAGGTCAGTGATCAATGCTTGACTTGTGGGAAGTACGGAAATGCAGCTCATTTCATGGAAGAATGTAAACTGACCGAGAGTGTGAGGACGAGATTTGGAAAAATAAATGAACAGAATGTAACTGAAAAAAGAAACTTCTTGAGTAGCTATGCAGCAGAAATTATGAAGATTGTGAATGCAAATAAGACTATCATAGGAATAGGACCTTAAATATTTTAGTTTTCCTTTTATTTACGAGTTTATGTGTTAGGTGAGTGAGTCATGTGTCGTCTTAATTATTTTTTGTTTTCTAGTCAATTATGCTTATGATTTTCCTTACTTTGTATTGTGTGAGTGTATTTTTAAAGATATACAATCTGTGTTAATGTATTTAATCTGTGCTTTAATTTTTTGTTTTTATCTTTTAACTGTATTTTTGTTTGTCTGCGTCGGGTGTGCTGCGTTAACCATGAGGCCGATTGCTATCGGCCAGGAGGGTTGCAACACACTCGTAAACTAAACTAAACTAAACTCTATTCGGAAACAAGCCTGAGCCTGACCTATCCGCTTTTCTTTCCGAGAAATTAGCTTTCTATGGAAGTCTTCTTCGTAAACTTAGAACACTTACAACCTTTTAGTCATGAAATGCAAAATCCTTTTATGTTTCAAGTAGCTGGACGTATTCATGTATGGATGAATCTGCATAAGGATGCAAATCATTCGTATCATTATTCTATTATGTCAGGTTTCCAGCCTTTCCATACCTCCGCCCTCCTTTTTACAAAAACAATTGTTGCCCCCACTCAATATTCGTAACAATCTAATTTCATAAATACTTTTCTGATATTGAAATTAATTTAATAAACTACCAAATATATACCATATTATATGTTAATATACATAAAAATATTTATTTATTATTAAGTAATAATAACTAGTATAAGTAATAATAATTGGCATCATTGAAGATATCGATGTTCTAATTTCCTTTTCAGTCACTAAACGAGATCGATACATGGTCTTTAAAACAGCTACAGCAGAGAAAATAGTTTTACATAAGTAAGATGTAATTTACATAAGTTACAAATGGCGATAAAATTTCAAAGGCTTTGCTTGTTAAGTAAGAAAACATTTTTCTACTCGTAACCAAAACGTAACAATATTACTTTCTCCTGGAAACATCTGCTTTAATGTGCTGTCACAACATAAGTAAATTATCATTTTTAGCTTTGCTGTTCGAAGGCCAAAATCATCGTATTTTTCAGTTATAAACGGGTTTCTTATCCATTTGTATTTCGACATGTCAGGAACTTTAAAGTAAAACGAGAATTATTTTCATAAACTGGTCAAGGGAGTATTAACAAGAACGTTTTTTCTTCTATTTCATCTTCAGGATAGGTGATTTTAAATTTTAGAAATATGTCAAAGTTTTATTTGTCAAACTTACCTTCCAGAGTTTCAATTAATTTTTCATAAATGCACTAATCTTGTCTTTCTGCATCAGAGCTTGAAATTGAGGCTCTTATATTGATTTATTTAAAGTACTGAGTTTTTGAAAAATATCTACTAAATACGAAAGTTTCTCAAGGAAATTTTGTGTCATAAAACAAGTTTGTTTCATGTCTATTAATATTAGTCAGAAACTCTTCTTTTAGCTCAAACACCCTTCGAAGTGCTTTGGAACGAGAAAAACAACATGCCTCACAATAACATAGAAGTGCTCTTTATTTTGCATCCATGCCATCACGCAATTTTTCGAATAGCCTTTCTACTAATGGGCTATTTTTAATAAAATTTACAACTCTGATTACTCTTTGTAGATCTTCGCCCATATCTTTTGACGTGATTGTCATTCATACAACGTGTCGAAATTGTACAAAAACCACCTTTCGAACAGCGATTTGTCTGTTTCCATCGATAGAGCACCATCTGTGCATAGCCCAAAACAATTCTTCCACAGAATGTCATTTTCATTAAAAGATTTATCAATAATATTACAAACTTCGCTGTCTGCAGTATTGTGTTCAATAGGCTTACAGAGTAGCAAAGCTTCTCTAACATCAGTTTCTACAATTTCAATCAGTTACATAATCAAGTCTGCATCTTTAAGTACATCTGTAGCTTCATCCCCTTGCAAAGCAAAATAAAATGGTTCTTCTTATTCTATTCATTGATCGCAGAGATCTTCAGATATATTGGAAATTTGTCTTCCCACCGTCTTACCTACAAGTGGAATCATTCTAAGTTGACCAGCATAAGATTAGCCGAACATTATAGCTATCGTGTCAATAGCCGCAGGTAGCACCATTTTCTCGTATTAAATGTTTTTTTTTTTTTTTCCTTTTCTATAAGAATATATTGAATATTCTTACAGTAAATATAAGCAATTCTATAAGAAATCTTATACGATGCAAGCAATGCCTTTGATGTTAAAGACATGGTCTTTGAAAGCATTTTTCTGTTGTTTATTTAAATTTCTAATTTTCTTTAGAGAAATTCTCTTATCTTGCCATCGTTGTCTGCACGTCCGTTTTCAAGACGTCGTTTTAATTGATTGGATTTCATGCTATCTGCGGCCAAAATATTCATGAAAAGCAAACACAATAATTGTTTTTGGACATTAATAACCTTACATGTAAATCCCAATGGAGAGAATTACAGTCGCTGTTTACATTACTTACACTGGCACCAGCATCCTCTTGCTTTATTGAATTTTCCTTTCCTTTTATTCATTTAATGCCACGTGAAGTGTCAGATATTACCTGTATTGAGGATCACAAAGGAACTGTACATCATAATTGTGCTCAAAGGTTTCGCACAAATTAAAAATAATAATTATCCGCAGCACTTATTTTTTTGTGATAACACAGGTATCGTAATAACCAGATAAAAATCACTTGCTCAAACATTACGTTTGTATTTCCTCAAGATATTTCATGTATATTTCTTTCACTGGAGCTATATTTCAACTTCCTATGTAAATAATATTATTTTCTTTAAAGTTGTTCAGGTTTCTATTATTGCAGTAACAAAAATTTTCAGCATTATGACGTGAAAAGATTATTAAACGTTTAGCAGAGAAATAATATAAATAGGCTTAAAGCATTCCATTGAAGGAAATAGTGATGTTACTTCTTTATTTAAAAAAGCACATTTTCAAGATTCGTAAATATAATGCTATGAAATTAATCAATTCTCCATTTCTTGCAGGGTAAAAATGGAGCCCAACGAGTTCTTCAGATACTTCGTAAAGAGTTTGACAGAACAATGACTTTTATGGGTAGGTCACCTTTACTTTTATTAATAGACACAGAAAGACTTTAGCTTATTGTTTTTGAATGCAAAGGTCCGATAATAGGGTAATAAAATTTATTCTTATCAAAAGAAATATATTAGAACACTAGAATTCTCCTCAGAGAAATTCGTACAAGTGTTAACAACGTCACGCAGTACAATCAGTAGTTATACTTCAAACTACTAAAAACGTTAAATACAACACAATACAAAGTGCATCTAAAGAGAAAGCTAAGTCGGATATCGGTTCACGCGGAACTAAACAACTTGTAACAACAGTGACTAAGCAACTGACAGTAGATTAGATTAGAACATAGCTACTTTAATATACAGAACTATTCCAGGATACAACTTTGTTGGTTCTTGAATTAAATCCCGAAGGCACATGAAGTATAAAATTCCGGACGTGGGAAAATCTCTGAAGAGACATCGGAGGAAGCTGGAGAAGGAGGGGCCACAAACCAAACAGGGCGGAGCAAAGCAAGACATCGTAAAAAGTCACTGTAATGTGGTGCCATCTGTTGAGTCTAGATATAACTAGCTCTGTCATCTTACATAAAGAGATGGACAATTAAACACCCATGCCGTCTGGAGAGCAGATGCTCTCTCTTCGGAACTGGCCACGCGAAATAGTTGTAGTACTTTCTGTTTCTCGAAATTAATGGAAAGCAATAAATGTGGGATTACGGTTACAGCTAACATAAAGGTCAGTTACATTTATTCCAACTAAAGCGCTGACGGACAGGTGAGAGGTAATGAAAAGACGGGGATTCCTGATGTCTAACAGGGATAAGCAGATATTTTATCCCACGTCTGTAGATATCTGGAGATACTAACACCTCCCGGGAAGTCTCTAAGGGCGCTCTATCGGAGTATTAACAACACATTCATGCATAAGTAGGGAGGTAGCAGAGGTTCTGCTTATATGCAATTCATGAAGATAGAAGGACTCCACTGAGGGACATGCTTTGAACATAATATGATTACAGGGAACATGAAAGATGTGTTTTCAATTCATTTTGAGCAATTAGTGAATAAGGTTACAACCTTTAATTTACAGCTAAGTGTGTGGAACCCTGAGAACTGGTAAGCGAATAATCGCTTTAGCTCAGGAAACAGAAACGTAAACTCAAGAAGGGTTAATTACCCTTTATTGCTCAAAGTAAAGTTTTACAGATAGCCCTTTCTCAGGAGGTACACAAAAGCCTCCACTGGGGCTTGAACTCAAGAATACTGAGAAACAAAACCTAAGTAATGCTTACTTAAAAAGATATAGCCGAAGCTATCAAAATTCTACAGGAGTTGGCCCCTAAATGTTAACTAAACAGCGAAGCTATCAAGGACCTTAAATACGGCCGAGCGTAGAGCTAAAAGGCTTAGAGAGAGTGTAGCCAAAAGGCAAACGCTCGCTAGTCAGAATCTCAGGCTCAGTGGAACCTCAACTTAAGTACTGCTCTTCCTTCATTTGCATTTAACCGCCATTCTAAAAACACACTCTGGCCGGAAATTTGTTAGCTGAAATTAGAAGGGATAGGAAAGTAACTTTAATTAAAGATATCTGTTAAAAACTTAGGATAAACCTTAGAAGTAAAAGATGATGGCCAATTTTTTATTCTTTGTCGTATGTGTTTTAATGATGTTCATATCTTTTTTCAGGTGCTGGCAAAGTAGACGATATTGTGAGATCAATGGTTGTATCACAAAATTATTACTTCTATCGTTATGAATCCGATTACAGACGTCATGGTGATAGAACAGGCGGAATTAACGTTGGTCCTCATTCTGACTATTACTTGGTTTGTCCTTTCGATTACAAAGATAACCATCTAATACACCACATAGGCGCAGGAGTGGGTGATGGAAGCCAATGGTTTGAGGACAGTAGCTATTCATTTTCTTCGTATTCGTTCTCATCTTCCGATATCTTGGGTGTTTCTGCAGATATGTAAGTGCTTAAAACTAGAAAAAACAGACAAAAAATTAGGCAAAGCAACAACCCGGTGTTTGGTGTAGATTTTAATTCAAAACTCCTAAGTTTTATTAACATTCTTTTAATTATAGCTATTAAAATAGTAATTCATGTCATTTTTCATGCTCCTTTACTATTTCCGCGGACAGATTCGCTATCTTCGCGTTCGCTTCGCTCTTTTGTTTTTGGTATAAAAACAAGTTCTATTAAAAAATCAGCACATCCAGTCTCCTTTGTTCCGTGTGTCCTCCCTTCTTTGCTCTTGACGAAGAGGGGTTTGTATTTGTTCACTATTAAAATCAATAGAGTTTTAATTAAAATCTATGCCAAACGTAAGACTGCTGCTTCGTCTAACTCGATCGATATAAGTGCTTTAAATTAAATTTTCTTTGAATGGCTGTCAGTAGTCGTACTCTAGTCACATGCTATTTGACAAATTTCTCATTTTCTTCTCTTAGCGAATTTTAAATAGTTAAAATTTTCGTAGATTATTACCTAAGTTGCATTTGGACCTATACTAGTTTTATGAACAGGTGTTATACTTGAACTGATGCATGAAAAATATATTTACTTTCGGTTAGATATTACATAGTCTAAAGTTGTATACTTAAGACGTATTCCCACTGATTAACTGAAATTCTATGGTAAATTACGTAACAGAGATTATGAACGTATTTGAGTTATATTTGATGAGACCGAATGGTGTTCCAGATTTTAGTGCACTATTATATCGTAATTCAAAGGAATAGAGTAGCATAGGTAATAAGAATGGAAAAAGAAATTTGTAAAATTTTATTACAGGATTTTGACAAACAGCTTGACAAATAATTGATGTGTCCTGACAAGGTAAATGTATTTCAATTCGGCCAAAACTCGTGCCACCTTTGTTTGGTTCTTCTGAAAGACATTCGTACTAAGGTACTTGTTAAACTCAATTAAATCTCAGACAACTAAATAAGTTTCTTCTGCGTTTTTTAAGGTTCAGTACCGATCTCAATCAGAAGATACCTAGCAAAGTGTATTGGATTTTAAACTGTCTTTGACCGACCATGTCTCGCCTGAAGCCTCAGTCACCATAATTATCACAAGAGGATTTCTTCTTTGGGAGTAATGTTATGGACCATGTGTTTGAGTCCCATTTCTCCGCAGATTTTAGAGAATTGAAAATTATATTATCATGATTATCATTCACATTACCTAGGTGAAGCTTAAGCGAATGTTATTACCAAAGTGAATTATAGAATAGTAATTCAAAGTACTGTTTTGCGAAGGGGTACAAATAGGCAACTTATAAGGAATGAGACGCTATGAAAATTTATCTTTTTCTGCTATTAAATTTGACATTCTATGATTTTTCGTTACGATGTAGTGGTACACTGAAATCTCAGGGATCATTATGCCTTATCTAATACACAAACTGTCTACTGTAACTAAGTTTTATTGTGATACGCAGGCGTTTTGAAAACTCATATCATGTTTAGAATCTCAGCATTAATTTATAACATTATTCTTTATTTAATAATATTTTTTTTTTACTTCCTGCAACATTTTGGGTGTTCCTTATAGTTTCACACTGCTGTATCCAAATATGATATTTAGTTTTTACTATCAAGAACCAGATTTTAGAGAGCCAAGAAAATAAAACCACTTGGGCTTGAAAATTGCTGTTAGAGTTCTACACCTATTTATCCACAGCAAACAATTTAATGAGGACCAGTTTTAGATGATTCTGAGGTAATTAATTGTGACTTTTGCTTATTAAAGCTTCTTATGAGGTATTTTATTACCAGGTACAGTATTTCTGCATTGAAACAAATTTTATGAGGCATTTTATTACCGGGTATAGTATTTTCATAGAGAAACAAATTTTTATGAGGTATTTTATTACCAGGTATAGTATTTTCACATGAAATAAATTTTTAAGAAATAATGAGCATCTCTTACGCAACTATTCCATTGCAGTATTTGATAAGATCTACTTACAGCAAATTAATGGCAAAGAATAAATCTTTATTACACTTATTACCAAAACGTCAAGCAGGAAACGGGAAAAATTGCGATAAATCGGCTGAAGCAGTTCGAGGTCATATTTGGATATGTCACAAATAAAAGAAAGCTACATCGAGTAGCATTATGAAAAAGAGTGGCGCTGCCATCGTTTTACATGAATACGATACAGATCAAAACTATCTGTTTAAGAGGGAATCGTTATTCAATGAAAGATGATATATCAAACAATTTAGAGATCGCCAAAGTATGAAAATGAGTTCTAGGTGACATTTGCCAGCAGAATTGAGTTATAGAGCCACAAAATGATTAGAACCAGGTCAGCGACAGTTTGATGTTGCAATAGAGCTAAATGTCGACCGTTACATGGTAAGTCGGTTGTAGAACCAATATCTGTCGCCTGGTTCGGCCTTTCGAAGACCTACCGAAGGTAGTCAAGATTTATTATTTTTGGAGATGACTGGTATGTGCGACTTAAGGCATGTCGCAACAGGACTGCCATCGCATCTCAGCTTAGACCCGCGTCTATTTATTCTATAGGAAGGGCAGTATCAACCACAAAGGAGTCACAACAGCCACGATGAAAGCTGAAAGAAAGAAGTCTGTTTGCTTGAAGACTGGCATTGTGTATCCCGCTTACCTCATGCAACCAAATAGAGTGTTTGTATGGAGCACGTAGTCATCTAAACTAGACTGAAAATTATTGGACGCCTGTTCTATTCCCTGATGAGTTCACTGATTCTCGACGTACTTATACATAGAGGGGAAAAAACACTCGATATCTGCTATACAACATACGGAAAAGGGATATTTATATAAGAGCCAGTATTTCTTTTATGGGAAGGATTACTTTTAGGTGAAGGCACAGACCTGAATGCTGTCAGATGGAACTCTGAACGCTCAAAGCAATATTTTGAAGAAAATAACAATTACCGAAATCACTAGTATGTAAAATACTGAAATGTAGCCTAAACTGTGCAAATTTGATTCACAATGTATAAGGGGACAAGCGCGTGCATCGACTGGTTGTTTGCGAATAGCGCTTCTTTGAGTGTGTGCGCAACACGAATTTCTAATTTAATAAAAAAGGTTTCATTTATGTACATGTAATCCTGTTGATTAGGTATTAAATATTTTTTTAAAACTCCCTGCAATATTTATAAAAGCGAGTACATTTAGAATCATTTAGCAAAAGCTGGCACGTCATTAGCATTAGCGAAAAGATCAGATGTAGAAATGCTGTCATTTCTGCTCTGTCCTTGGTTAATCTGAAACGAGATAACTATTATGTATTTTTATTACGCTTAATTTTTAAAATTTTTTCAGTAAAGCATTTCAAATTGTTTTTTATATTCAAGCAGTTACAATCATAGCACTCCATAATTCCTTACCAAAATGTTTTCCCTTTTAGTTTGGGTGTTGGAGTTGACGTCAGCCTCAGCAGTAGCAGCAGTAGCAGCAGTAGTAGCAGTAGCAGTAGCTGCAGCAGTCACAGTGACAGTATCATCGCTGCATCGGACAGTTTCAGTTGGAGCAGCGAAAGTAGTATCAGTATTTCCGAATCCTCCGTGATTGATGTCAGCGTTATCCCATTGGGAGTTACATTCCTCGATTCTTCTTTGGTCGACTCATCAGCTTCAATCGAAGGAGTCTCTCTGATTCGATCCGATGACAGCTGGTCTCTTACTCTCATTGACATTCATGACGGCATTTCTGTTGGTGTTCATGCAGGTGTTGGAGCTCATGTTGGTGCGTCAGCTGCGGTTGATGCCGGAGTGTCAGTTGGAGTAGGAATTGAAGCTGACTTCGAAATTGAAACGGATTTCGAAGCTGAAACTGATATCGAAGCTGGATTTTCCGCTGATATCAGTGCTGGATTTGGTGCTGATATCGGTGCTGGATTTGGAGTTGATATCGATGCTGGATTTGGAGCTGATGTGCGTGCTGACCTTGAAGCTGGATTGGACATTTCCGCTGGTATTGGTGCTGACCTCGAAGCCGGATTGGATCTTTCCGCTGGTATTAGTGCTGACCTTGAAGCTGGATTGGATCTTTCCGCTGGTATTGGTGCCAAACTTGATGCTGAATTTGGTGCTTCTTTGCTTGAACTTGAAAAATAGTTGCCAGCTGGCAGCCTCATCAGTTTGTGGTTTATACTGAAATTTTTTGTTCTATCCTTAAATTTAATCTAGTACAGATGTATATATTTTCCAATATTACAAGTTACATAGAGAAGCTCGTATTAATAGACACTGGAAAACTTGAATGCTACAAGAAATTTTGGTATATACCATGTTAATAGAGTTATTATGAATATTAATGTATTTTAGTATTTCACTAAGAATAATAATTGCTAAAATACGTAATGATAAATTGTTTTGTGGTTGCAGTTTTTGCATCTTTTTCCTTTCTGTGTTTCTAAAGTATTCAATACATGCTTTTATTTAATAAGGGTTGAACTGTAATAGCAAAACACTTTATTATTTTATAAATAGGAATATTCTAAGTATTGGCAATATTTCACAATCTGTTGCTTGCCGAAGAAATTTCCTTGAGATTGCTTCAATATATTTTCATGTACAAGTTACATTTTCATATTAAAAGAAATTTTAAAGTACTTTCGGAAAAGTTCTATAAATTTATAGTACTTTCCCGATTTCCTAACTGATGTAATACAATAACTAAATATGCTGTAAAATTTGTGTAATAAATATAGATATAGTTTTGCCAGACTTCTTATTTTTGATTTATACAATAAATATTGTTAATAAGTTTAATTTTTTTACTGCCCAGTTTTAAGGAATAAAATATTTTTGTGATTTGGGTACACATGCACATGTCAGCGTCTGTCATATTAAAACAGGAAAATGTAATAAAACATTGATTGCATTGTTTTTATGACAAAAACAAAGCTGTGTGTAAGTTTAAAAAGTACGATAATTCATATAGAAATATACGCCGTGTTTCAAAAAGAATATACGTATTACAAAGTGTTATTTTGTCCAAACTATCGATCACTGCGCCTCGGCTCGGCTATTGGCGAAACGAATACATAGTCTAGTTTATATTAATAGCCGCTAGATGTCAGTTGTCTTCTGTTTTGCGTGGTAACCGTCACATGTTTAAAATGGCTACTCCGAAGCAGAAATCATTTTGTGTTCTCGAGTTTGACACTCTGTGACTTCTTCCTGTGGGGTCTCACTAGACAACGTTTATGTACCACCACTCCCACAGAACCTGGAAGAGGTGAAGAACCGGACCCGTACTGTCATAACATCAGTGACGACGGGCATGCTTGCTCGAGTATGGGAGGAATTTGATGTGATATTGTTCGTGTCGCTGATGGAGGACATATTGAACATCTGTAACATCTGTAATCTGAACTTGAGAGGTTCGTACATATGTGTGTAAAGTTTCATATTCGTATGTCATACAGTTTAATAAATATATGCATTCGAAATACGTATATTCTTTTTGAAACACGCTGTATTTAATAGTGTTTACTTGTCGGAATTTTTGTAACATTCGTAAAAATTTCTTTTCATGGTAAGAATTCAGAAGTGAGTTAACATCAGTTTTACACTTTATGAACAGTTGTTTTTATATGCTAATAGGAAATCTTTTTTTTTTAACCCAGTAGCAGTAATTTTAATCTTTCACAATAAGTATTTAGACCTACTTTAAAATTTGCATCATATCAATGCAAACATGTCCGAAAATCTTAAAGCAACATAAATCTTTGGAGAAATTACACCTTCTAATAGTGGAATAAATCACTGACCCTTTTTAAACAGTTTTTAAAGTACTATTCCATTGCAGCGGTGTCAGCTAAAAGCGCAGCACCTTTTTCTTACCAATTGTTACCACGTATAAAATTATGAAATAATAATAGAGTTAAAAGACTAAAACAATTAGTTCTGTAAAAAGCGAATTTTTTAAAATTTCATAAGTCTTAAAGAAAGTAAAATTTTCTTTTTAATTTTTTAATCTAGAATGTTCTACACATAAATAAAAAATGATAAAACAAAACGAAATTTAACAGGTGGCATAAAGAATATTCTACAGATAAATAAATAAATAAAAAACAATATTCAGTCTAAACAAGTGGCATATACTTATCATTCACTGTTATTGAAAAAATTTCAATTTTTCAATATAACCGAAGCCACGTAAATTCTAGCAAATATGGCTCTAATGGTGGCGAGCAGTGCCTCGCAGATGCCGCCATCTAGCTCTGCCCCACAATCGCTCGACAGTTTGGGTATGGCATTTGGTTTTGGGGTCTACAAAATTATAACTGTGATTAACAGTGAAATATTCATACACAGCATTTCTTAATTCCTCTTTCTATTATCCTTTCCAGCAGTCTGAAAACATTAGTGTTGCCATCTGGGATGTTTTCCTGAATGGAAGTCATCAATGTTGTAGCACAACGATCGGGAACGATGACCAGAAAATATTCTTTGCTTTTCCGGCATAAACCCCCAAATACCCACTGTTTCGGAAGAACAAATCCAACTTTTTTTTTTCCTTTTTGTGAAATGGCTTTCGTCCGTTTCTGCGATTTTGTCAGCTCCACCGATTTTATTTCTTTTACGAGACATCAAACTATTTGCACATACCTCCCTCAAATAGTTATTCCAATTTTGCTATCTTATTATGGCTAACTGGTTTTGGTTTGGTTTGGTTTTATTAGATTATGCCAAAGCACTCGATGACTATCTGCCCTAAGGGAGGGATGCCTTCGTGGAGGACTTTCTAAGGGAAACTGGCTCGTATACACGTTACACATGGGGAAAACCACGAAACGCCCATGCAGCCAGCCCGTTCACGGGATTCGAACCTCTTACCGAACTACCAGTTTTCAGCGACGTTACCGCTCGGCCGCTGGTGGGCCTATGGCTAACTGAAGTAGGCAAAATTCTATCGGCGTCAATTCTTGACACCATAGACCAAAACAAACGACATTGAGGAAATAAAAGAAAATGGAATCCTCATTGAAGAAAGACGCGAGTCTTCAAACCATGTTTTGGTTCTAATTCCCCCCCCCTTTTTTTTTCCACAACAAGAACCTACGTAACAACGCCATGTAGGAGTTTTGTTTGAGTCAAAAGTTAACTTCATCGAATGATTTTGAGAACAAATCAAGTGCTATGAATTATTCCTTTATCATGAAGGAATCTTATGGCAGCCTCTTCGTCATTGGGTAGTTGCCAAATCGTGTAGTCCTTCCTACTAAAAAAATAGCGTCTCATATTTTCCTTAATTTTTTTAACTGACGCTGCTCTAACGGAATAGTACCGTTTTAATATTGAAATGTGATCTAATAATTACAGAGATAATTCTATTCTTTATTAAGAATTATTTATTAACAACTACTAGAGAGTTTAATATTTCATTTTTAATTATATAATACAGTAGAAGTATAATTACAGGATATTTTGAAGTTCTAAGTGGTTGAAGGAACAATTGATTATAGAAACATCAGTGCAGATGAGAAAATAAGGCCATTATAAAAAATGGATATTTTACATATTTTCAGTTTCTTTAACATATGCTGTCCAATATTCATCGAAGTATTAATTCATCGAAGTATTAATTCATCGAAGTAAAAGTGTCGAAAAACAGAGTGATTTTAGCGTCAATTATGGATAAACGCGACGTATCAACACACTCATAACATCTGCATTTTCTTTTGATGAAACACTGAGTAATTCTCGATAAGCTACTTTTTGTTTTTATGAACAAAGATATAAATAAATTTGTTGCTCTAATTTTGTTTGACAAAAAATGATTAAAATTTAGAACTTGTCTTCTGCAGAGCAGCAAATCGTGGATATTTTCCAAAGTTTTAGATTCTATCATCAAGAAAGTATATTAATGGACACGATATATTCTGCTGAATATCGCCGACTAAACAGAAATAGATTTGAATAATTATCTGTGGAAAGTTTATAATCCTAGCATTCTTAACAGTGCTTTTGGTAAGACCGAAAGATAACGAAATACTGTGGGTAAAAAAAGTATTTGCACACCTACATGTTTGTTTGCAATTCATAAAAAGAAGCATTGAGAAATAAAAAAATTGTATTGCCAAATCAGAATAAGTTTAATCATCCAAAACAAACAGAAAAATTACAATAATATAAACAACAATGCTTTTTTGTAACAAAATTAAAATATCTCGTATCAAAAAAGTATTTGCACACCTGCATGAATACAAAAGAAATAAAATATATAAGCAAATTTCAAATAACTAATATTTAGTATGCATGCCTTTAGCATCTATTACTGCTTGTAATCTTGCTGGCATTGATTTAATTAAATTTTCTGTAACAGTAGGGTCAGTATTCGACCACTCTTCAATAAGGGCTTGTTTAAGGGCAGATTTGCTTGAAATCTTCCTTTTTCTTATTTTTAAATCCAAAGAATTCCACAAATTTTCCAAAGGATTTAAGTCTGGTGATTGTGGTGGAGTGGCAAGTTTTCTGGGTACATTATAAAGCAACCACATACGTGTTATACCGGCAGTGTGCTTGGGATCATTTGTCTTGCTGAAAATAGTACGAATTACTGATACCCAATTTTATTGCACTTTGTGGCAAGTTATCTCGCAACACATCAATATAGGTTCGAGCTGTCATATTCCCATCAATGAAACACAAATTACCAAACTCCTTTGCTAGCCATGCACCCCCAAATCATAACAGAACCTCCTCCATGTTTAACTGTAGGTAACACATTTTTGGTATGAAAAGCAGTACAAGGTTTTCTCCAAACTAATTTTCCTGCCATCTGATTTAAAGATATTGAACTTACTCTCGTCGGAGAATATGACATTTTTCCAGAAATCAATTGGCTTATTGATATATTCCTTAGCGAATTCAAGTCTCTTCAGTCTATTTCGTTCAGTTATGAGAGGTTTTTTTTCCTTGGTGATCTCCCATAAATGTGTGCATCGTGCAGGACATTTCGAACACTTTGGGCACAGATTTGAACTCCAGATGTTGAAGCGACATCATTGGCTAAAGTAATTGCACTAACAAATGGATTTTTTCGATGCTTCTCTTATGATTTTTCGCTTCATTCGCAGTGAAAGTTTCTTTGGGCGTCCAGAGCGCAAGTTATTTGATGTAGATCCTCTTTCTTTATAACGTTTTATAATATACCGAACAGTAGAGAAGCAAACATTTACTTTTTTTTTACCTATTTCTCGATAACTTAGGCCATTTTCACGTAGAGAAACAATTTTTTCTCGCAACGAAATCGGCAATTCAGATTTCTTAGGTGCCATTACAATTTGAAATCGACAATCAACTGATAACGTTTCGACAAACCTCCTTTTATAGTCGTCTTACGTATGTTATTTACTGCGGGATGACTGTCAAATAATAGCATAAAAATGCAAATTTGCTAAAGTTGAGTTGAGTGTGCAAATACTTTTTTGACATAAGCTATTTTAATATTGTTGCAAAAAAAAATTTTTTTATTAATATTATTGTATTTTTTGTAATTAATTTAAATGAATAAGCTTATTCTATTTTTTAAATGCCAATTTTTGTATTTCTTAATGCGTTTTCTTATAAATTGTGAACAAAAATGTATGTGTGCAAATACTTTTTGTACCCACTGTAGATGATTCTTTCTTTTGCTTTTTCTTAATTCCACAAGAACGATTATCGCAGCTTTGGCGGAATCTGAGCCAACTTTCCTGATTCGATGGTAGCCAACT